CTTTCCACACCTGTCACTTTGCGTGCGGGGGAATGTCTCGGCCGCGTGCAGCATCTCGATCCTTCGTCTTTGGTTGATGTCCCGGATGACTACTGCGACCACTCAAAATCACTGTCGGCCCTCGAGGAGTCGTCCAAGGATACGTTTTCCAGTGCCATCGCCGACACCCTCACTCCTACCGAACATGCCGACCTGCTTGATCTTCTGCATGAGTTCCGGAATTCTTTCAATGTGTTCCAACCTCAACTAGGCCGCACGTCCCAAGTCAAGCATCATGTTGACACCGGCCTTCACCAGCCACTGCGTCAAAGACCATACCGTGTCTCCACTGAAGAGCGCCGCATCATCAACGATCAAGTCGAAGATATGCTTCGTAGAGACGTCATTCGACCATCTCACAGTCTCTGGGCGTCTCCTGTCGTCCTGGTGCATAAGAAAGACGGATCTATCTGATTTTGCGTGGACTATCGTCGTTTGAATAAGATAACCCGCAAGGACGTATATCCTTTGCCACGCATTGATGACGCCATTGACACCCTTCACGGAGCGGAATTCTTCTCGTCGCTAGATTTGCGGTCTGGCTACTGGCGAGTTACAATGGCTGAAGCCGATCGCCAAAAAACTGCATTTATTACACCTGACGGACTATACGAGCTTAACGTCATGCCCTTTGGGCTTTGTAACGTGCCCGCCACGTTTGAACGGCTTATGGATAATACGCTACGTGGCCTCAAGTGGAATATGTCCCTCTGCTACCTCGACGATGTCGTGGTTTTCTTGCATGACTTTCCTACGCACCTCCTTCGCCTCAGGCACGTTTTGACTTGTCTGACCAACGCTGGCCTGCAGCTTAACCTGAAAAAATGCCGCTTCGCTGCACGCGAGCTCGTCATCCTAGGCCACATGGTGTCGAAGCACGGCGTATTACCTGACCCAGCAAAACTTCGAGCAGTCGCAGAATTTCCCAAGCCGACGACCATGAAGTAACTTCGCAGTTTTGTAGGCCTATGCTCATATTTCCGGCGCTTTGTTCGCAATTTCGCATCCATCATGTCACCATTAACCCAGCTTCTTCGCGGTGACGTGAACCTCTCCTCCTGGTCCCCTGCATGTGACGTTGCCTTCACTACTCTGCGCCGTCTGCTCACCTCCCCACCTATTCTTCGCCACTTCGACCCGACGGCTCCTACCGAGGTGCACACCGACGCCAGCGGCGTCGGGCTAGGTGCTGTCCTCGCTCAACGAAAACCCGGCTATTCAGAATACGTTGTAGTCTACGCTAGCCACACTCTGACGAATGCGGAAACTAATTACAGCGTGACAGAAAAAGAGTGTTTGGCTATGGTGTGGGCGCTTGGAAAGTTCCGGCCGTACTTATACGGCCGCCCGTTCTATCTAGTAACTGATCACCACGCGCTTTGCTGGCTCTCCACGCTGAAAGACCCTTCTGGCCGCCTTGCGCGATGGGCACTCCGCATCCAGGAGTACGACATTCGCGTCGTATACTGCTGCGGACGCAAACACTCTGACGCTGACGCCCTGTCCCCCTCACCTTTGCCACCAAATATGACGTGCGGAAACACGTGTCTCCAGACCTTGTCATCGTTAAATCTTGACTCAATTGCCACCGAACAACGTCGTGACCCGTGGATCGCATCTCTTCTCGAATATCTATCCGGTACGCCCAACCTTCCGGTATCTCGATCCCTCCCGACGTGAAGCTTTCCATTTTGCCATCCGCGATCAACTTCTCCATCGACGCAACTACTCTCCTGATGGCCGCCGGTGGCTTCTGGTCATTCCACGCACTTTACGATCGCAGGTATGCGCCTCTCTTCACGACGATCCACAATGTGGCCACGCCGGGGTGTTCAAAACATATGAACGCCTTCGCCATCGCTATTACTGGCGCGGCATGTACAATTTTGCACGCGAATTTGTGCAGTGCTGTCCTGACTGCTAGCGACGCAAATCAACACCGCTACGTGCGACTGGTGAATTGCAGCCACTTCCGTGCCCTGCCAAGCCATTTGATCGCGTTGGCGTTGACCTCTGCGGCCCCCTTGCATTGACACCAGATGGCAATCAGTGGATTATAGTGGTGGTCGACCATCTAACACGCTACGCTGAAACAGCCGCTTTACCGAGCACTACCGCTCAGGATGTCGCCTCTTTCATTTTACGTCAATTTATCCTTCGACATGGCGCACCTCGAGAGCTCCTTAGTGACAGAGGCCGCGCTTTCCTCTCCGAGGTCGTCGAAGCTCTGCTTTCGGAATGCCACGTCTTTCATCGGAAAACGACAGCATACCACCCGCAGACTAATGGGCTAACAAAACGGTTTAACCGCACGCTGGGTGATATGCTCTCAATGTACGTGGCATCTAATCATAGCAACTGGGACCGTGTTCTCCCATACGTCACATTCGCATACAATACTGCAATACAAACAACCACGGAATTTTCACCTTTCTTTCTTCTTTATAGACGTGACCCTTCCCATACAATTAATACTCTACTTCTCTACCGTCCTGTTGCTTCCGAATGTCCACCTATCTCCGATGCTGCTCGACAAGCCGAAGAGTGCCGCCAGCTCGCCCGTGCATTCACCTCGGACGAGCAGCAACGCCAGAAAGAAAATCGTTGCGCCTCTCTTCCGGATCCCAACTATGCCCCAGGGTCTCTCGTGTGGCTTGCCATCCCATACCAAACTTTGGGACTCTCATCAAAACTTGTCCCCCAGTACGAGGGGCCTTACACCGTTTTAGAGAAAACCTCTCCGGTTAATTACCTAATTGAGCCAGTTTCCCGATCAGACGACATGCGCCGGCGTGCACGTGACATCGTCTATGTTTTCCGCCTAAAACCGTATCTCTCCCTGAAACTTCTTAGGTCGCCAGGATGGCTCCTTTTTCAGCGGGGGCGATTGTGAAGAAGAAGATGTGCCTGCAGCAAGCAGCATCGCCAACGCCCGGCTCTCTTGGCTCGTGCTTCGGTTCGTTGCTGTGCCGATTGCTGGACGGTTCTTCACGATGTCTCGTCGCTGTCTTTAACGGCTAATAAACCTCCTCACAATATATATATATATATATATATATATATATATATATATATGAAAACGCAAGAAAGAGAAATAATCTAGAAAAAGACTTTGGCGATCGGAATCGAACTTGGGACCTCTGAAACGTGAGTGCAAGTTGTTAACCACTGAGCCACGGAAAGGCATGCTCTTCAACATTCAACCGGCAAGCTATTTATATCTATCACTTACCGCTGTTGACAAGCGTCTCGGGTAGATTTATCGTGTTTTCAGAATTACCAGCAAGATGGTTCAATGAGCGCGCGTCGCCACATCGTCACGACGCAGCAGCACGCGCTCTCATCTCCTCATGCGTACTTTGCTCTGCGGAGAGGAGGGGGGTGGACAGACTCTTATCTCGCGGTGGGGAGAATCCTACGTCTTCGCTGGCCTTGGGTTTTCACTAGAATGATTCTGTTGTAGTCACCACGCGGATAAAGGCCACTGAGATCGCTGCACAGTCTCCATTTGCGAAAAGAGCGCACTTTTCAGACATATAAAAGTAACAACTGAGACGCTTATTCGCGTTCATATGTACCTGTGAGTGCATTTCGTGCATCATTTGTGGATGAAAAACGTGGGGTACATTTCGATCTGCTTGCTATTTTGCGTGTGACCTTCCAATTCATTGCTACCACGTTCATTGCTTGTCCTTTGTGGCAAAGCTGTGACTTTTAACCAAGTTTCATTAGTTAACATCATCATCACTACCATAGTAGTAGATTGGTGTTGTGTCGTGTAGTGGATTGAGGACACTCGTTCTAGCGACACTGGAGTCTTAAGTAAAAACGCTTTCACTCTCTGATCAGTATGGCGCCGATGGTCTTAGTAATAAAGTTCAACGAGCTCCTGCGGAAAAGGTGTGCCTCACTGCAACTCAGCGACGACACGCGGGCAGCATGTCGCACACTTCTCACTATGTCAGCACGTCAATATTTACCCAATCTTGCATGGAACATGAAAATAATCAATAAAGAACAGCCTGACTGAATCTGTGATGTGTGTGAATTTTTAATTGCCGTTTTCTCCAGCAAGTTGCACACCTGCGCTGTTGGCGGACTTCTTGCCTGGAGTGCCTACTTCAAAAACTCGTCTCGAAAACTTCAATGATCTTGTTTTCCAGTCAAAACAAATCGCGAGTTTTGTCACAGTGTTTATTATTAAATTATTCGCTGCCTGCTGTCACCGCTGTGTTGCATTGAAGCATGCCTTTTCTGCACCCGTGCATTTCAGCTCATCACGAGATGCTGTTTTATTTTATGCGCTAAAAGTGTTGAGGCCTACCAATCCCACCATGTTAGCAGCAAAAGTGAAACCAGCTATTGCTGGAAAACCTAACCCTTCGTGCCGCAAACTGTCTGCCACAACAAATGGCATCTACCTGTGATTACTTTCAATAACTCAATCTTCCTAGTAACCCACTTTTAGTTTATTTCGTTAACTCGAAATCCCGCTTAATTTAAGAATTTTTCACAATCCCAGTGACTTTGACGTTACGAGATTGTAGTGTACAAGGTGTGCATGAATCCAGGCGATTTGGTAATAAAAACAAAACAAAGTTATCCCTTGCTGTTTTAACATCTTGTTTTTTCGAGTGTTTTATATAACGGCTGATTACTAGAAAAGTACAAGAAAAATACTTGGTATTTCGAACATATGCTAATCAATTTGCGATTCGAAATTTTCTAACAGTGTTTGCACGCACCTACTAAATAGACATCTGCAACAGTGCTATAGTTGCCATGGTTGCTTTATCAAGTGTCAAGTGTTCTCGCTTGTAAAAATATTGTAAGAGTGGTCTGCTCTGGATATGGCTTCTGACTGCCTGTATAAATTGCCACCATTCCTTCACAGGTCTCTTGTTGAATGGATCAGCTGAAGATATACTTTTCAAAATGGTGGTCTTTTTTTTGTTGCGCAGAAGTCTTGGAATTGCTGCGGCCACCACCTGAGCCGCAGCTGGTGCCCGACAGTAGCCTGGCGGTGTATGTGCGCCAGACAGCCATACATGCTAATGTGAGTGCCTTCATTGTTGTCATCCATTAGGGCATGAGCATTTGCTGCATCTAAACAGCAGTCAAGCTTTTACTTTTTTTAACCGTGAAGCTGTTTAGCAAATTGTTCTTTGTTAATTGATCCAGAAACTGTCCATTCTTATAAATGAGTATGTGCCGCAGAAGTTGGGTAAGTCCTAGGAGGCACCACTGGTCCACCAAAAATAAAGAAGGCAACGGTTACCTAAACAAGCTTGACAAACGGCTGTGAAGTAACGGCAAAGAGCACAAGACCTCGAGTACGAGAGAGTACTAAGGCAATGGCAGCTGCAAGAATGCCCCAAAGTGATGCAAGGCTTATGCCAGTGACAGCATGCTGGTAGATTCATGAGAGGTGCTAATGCCGAGTTTTTGTCACTGGAGTTTCCACAACGGTGTCATGTCTGCGACTGCCTGTTGTATAACTCGAACCCCTCTGCACTGAGAATCAATGTAGAAACAACCTAGCATCACCTAGATAAGGGCTAGAAACAACCACAAGCAACCAGATAAGTCTTTAGAATCATCCACTTTCGCTGTTTCAAGCCTTGTGTGGCTTACTGCAAGCTTTGCCAACTTTTTTCTTTAAAGAAGCCATGACACAGCCAACTAGCATTGGTGGTTTTTAGCAAAAAAAAAATTACAAGTAGAGAGTTTGTTCGGGTATGAAAAGTTGACCGTAAAAAAATATTGCTGTGCAATACAGTCCCTAGAAGTCCGCCGTTTTGCCATGGCACCTGTGACATCATATGCAGCGAGAAGCATCATTGTCTACCACAGTTTCAGCCACTGCAAACAGTTCATTCAGTATCAAGCAGATCAAAGCTGAGATATCTCAATTTCACGAGCAGCTCACCATGGAGCAATCACTGAAATTCAGACGCTCGCACAGCCAGCTACTTGTTACATCACAAGTGCACCAGTGTTGTCCGGCTCTCCAGCTGTAAAAGTATTCAATTTATAAATTAGGTGCTCGACCAAAAGCGCTCAAATTTCGCCAGCTTATTTGTGAATGCACAAAGATTGAACCACGTTACAGATTATCATCTAAAATTTTGTGTCATGACTTCCCTTAATGGTAATCAAGTGAAAGAGTACTAAATGAAGGAGCACTGCTGTAATCAGGGAAATCAAACCTTCAAATTTCATATGCTGAAATGTGAATGGGCTTGGTCATGTTTTCTTTACAATATTTTACTTATCTCTAATTTAAAAAGGCATGAAGTTATTTTTTGGCAAGCTAGTTGAGCATAACGTAGAAAAGCAGTGCAAAAGACACAAAAAGTAAAAGCACATATATAAACATACAGCACTAAATGTGGCTGTATGTGTACCTTTTGATTCAGTGTCGTTTGTGCTGCTCCCGTACATTACAAAGTTCTTAGAAAGCCTTTAGTTTATTTTCGCTCCACTGAACATTTTTTTATGTCTACTTGTCACTTGTGGCTAGACAGACTGTTTGAACCACAAATGGTAGCCGGGGGATTGTTACAGGCAATGAAACACCATATTTGTATGTTTAGAGAGCATGTCATTCACCATTGAAATGGCCTCATGGTCATGTTTCCGAAATTACAGCTCTGATGAAGTGGTGTTGTGAATTGTTGTAGAATTAGCTTCTGTTTATAGTAGTATTTTGTGTGTTTTAAAAGGGTGTAGCAAATGCTACACGTTGTGAAGATGAGTTTGCTAGAAGCTTACTTTACGAGCTCTACCTAGAACGGACATAGGCATTTCTTATCACCGCCGTACACAAAGATGCTATTGTTGGGTTCGTCTACTTCTGACACAGTGCAGAAAAGGCACTCGAGGCAGGTTAACAAACGCTGGATTATTTAATCTAGATGCAGCACAGTGTGAAAAGTCATGGAATTGTGGGCCACACAGTGTAACTCCTCCTTAAGACAGATTGAGTACGCTTGCCAGTGATGCCATGGCTATCGCACAAAAGAGAGCAGTAAAGCACACGGATCTCTCATGCAGGCCTGAGAGCATCTGCTCATGGCGAGCAAGCACCAGCTCAAGTGGAGAGGATGCTGTCACTGGCAGCCAATGAGGACAGGCGTGGTGCTGTGACGTATGCTAGCGTCAGGGTTTCCACTGTATTTCCAGTTAAATTCATCAAAAGACGGATGAAATGTCCCCAAAAGTCGCCATTTTTCTTCATATTTCACCAAAAAAAGTCTACTCTACATATTTGTGGGGTATCTGGTCATAAAATTTTCTAGCTATGTAGAGCCCCGTCAAGTATAGTACCATCCATAAGCCCTAAATTATATTGATGTTTTTTCAATGCTAGTCACATCTCCCGCTTCACCATGAAAGCACTGAGAAAGAGCATGCTTGCATTAGCATCGTCTCTCGGTGCTAGGGCCTCATCACATAAATTTGTGATGGTTTCAGAGTTAGCGAATGCAGGATGACGCAGTTGCTACAACAAGAGAGGGATGGCATGCCAAGCCTTCCTGCATATTTAAAGATTGATTGATATGTGGGGTTTAACATCCCAAAACCACCATATGATTATGAGAGACGCCGTAGAGGAGGGCACCAGAAATTTTGACAACCTGGGGTTCTTTAACGTGCACCCAAATCTGAGCACACGGGCCTACAACATTTCCGCCTCCATTGGAAATGCAGCCGCCACAGCCGTGATTTGATCCCGCGACCTGCGGGTCAGCAGCCGAGTATCTTAGCCACTAGACCACCGCGGCGGGGCTGCATAATTAGAGAATTTAATTTCCGTGGAATCGTGTGTCTGATAATCGAGGAACTTAATTGTGCAACAAAAATAAATTCGAAAGTACTGCGTAACTGTCGCAATGCCCGCACCATGCTTTCTGTGTGGGCATGCTTACGTTACACATTCACCCCATTACAGTTTCTGAACGCTGCCTAAAAAAGCCCAACTTTTCGGCCCACATGATAAGTACGTTAATGACAAATTTAAACTCAACACAGCAAATCAGGGGGTACTACAGCAAGAACGAAGTCAACAGGCTATTCAGGACAGAACTGTGGTCAGAACATGTGGCCTAACCATTAACCTAGCGACTTCAGACGCAAAACTTTGAAGAAGCCTAATGCTCTTAAAGTACCTAAAAATGTACTATACCACCACCTTGCGGCACGCGGAGCAGTCCACCGACCTAAATTTTGCTGGCAGTTTGCTGGTAGACGCAACAGTGCGCCAGTGCCTCTTGGATCTAGGTGAATTAGGAGATACATTCGAGAAACAGAACAGACGTACTAAATTGCGCGTAGGGTGTGCCTTCTGCTGATGGGTCTAAAACTACGGAAAATTGAAAGAAATGTCGCTCATTCATCTTGAAGGCACTAACTATAGACTGTTTTACTTAAGACATCTGGGCGCTGCCATCTTGGGCTGTTAAGTCGATGTTTTCTTGTTTTTGTACATTGTGATGTGTATTAATTAATAACGCCATGGAACATCGTATGCATCAATTCAACAGTTTTCATTGGTATGCGTCCACCCTAACACTGTTCGTTTGTTATTTAAAGATGCAGAACACAAGGGTTGACAAGCCCAACATAGTGGCTCTGGATCCCCTCCGTAAAATTGTCTATAGAATGCGTAGCTCAGTCGAGACCTAACCTGAAAATCGCCAAAAATTCGCCATGCCGCCATTCATAGATTTAGGTCGCCACGGGCCTCTCAAGTTCATCAATTTGGTGAAAAGTAGCCAACAGTGGCAATTCTGGCTAGCATACCATGCGATGGCATGCTCGACACTGGAGACAGGGTAGCATAGCTTGCGCTAGACAATGGCCTGCACGTGTGCACAGGGCCACCATTTGTTGTGTAATGGCAGTTCCCGGCAAGCAAGCCAAGGAAAGTCAGTATGATGCACTAGCTGGGGAGTGAGGCACAGTAGGGGAGGCGCTCTCGATAGCTACTAAGTATTGCACACACATAAAATATTCAATATTGAATCAAGGGGCAAAAGTTTAACATTCCTGCTTGTCTTTGCAGGTGGCTTGTACCAGCCTTCACCGGTCACAAGCGGGCAGTTCTTATGTCAACAACTGGCATGAGCGGCTACAGCACTTGGAGCGGTTACGAGGTCGGCTTGAACGCAACACTGAACCTCCACCAGATGACCTGGCAGACCTTTAAGACCCATATAAAGCAGCAGATGATATTGCAGTTGGCTTTGCCTTCATTATTTAGTATTTCATTTTTTTATTGTACTGTCAAAATTTTTTAACTGAGACATTTAACACAGCACGACAGCAATGTTAAGCTTTTGGAATACTACAGAGCAGTGCATGTGTTTAATGATGTTGTTTCCTCTTCATCTCTGACAAGAGTGAGCTCCAAACAGTAAAGCAGCAGTAGTGTCTTCTAGAAATCCGTATATATTTGGTGAGCCACACATTTCAGATACAGTAGAACAAATATAGTAGTAGGAGCTCTATAAATATGCATAATTCAAAGAGGATTGACATATAAATCGAACAGCCTCTTTATTGGATTGGTTTTGTGTTTGGGTACTGCAAGAAAAGTTTCATTAACTGCAGCTAAAATTATCAGAACTTCATAAATAGAAGCAGGCCCTAAAAGGATTTGTACCTAAGGATAAACGATCTAAAATATATCATTTTGACTACTTGTACTCACTTCCATCTAGGAACTCATCTTTAGTAAAAGTGACAGACTCTTCGTTGCTCAATCGTATGGTATTAGCAATATGAGCTATGTTTCTTTTTTTGAAGTGAAGTGCTTTTTCTTTCTTCACACAAGCTACAGATATAATACAATTATCTGGACCGATAGCCAGAAGAGGCTAGTTTCCGGTCCAGTGTTATAAAGAAAACACAGGTCAGTTGCAGAATTCTAATAAAACAGTATTCAATAACATCATAATAAAACGAACATTATACACTTCATAAACAAAGTTTATCATGATGTAGACCTAGGTAGTCGATATAAGTTTGTTAGATATCCTGGTACGCAATAAAAAAGTACAGTATTTACTGGACTGCTTAAAGTTCTGTGCAGTTATAACCTCTAGGGGTAAAATATTCCAGATCTTAGTTCTTCTGAATTCGATTACAGTAAAACCTCGATAATTAAAAGTTACTGGGGCAGCAAAAAATCTTCAAATAAGCAGGTTTTCAAATTAACAGAACATACAAAAAATGGATGCAAGAAACTTGGAACTATTCAAAGTAATCAGGGCTCGTTGTTTGCTGTGCTGGCTAGCTTGAGACTCCAAGGGTTATGTTTTCCAGCAATACCTGGTCTTAATCTTGCCGCAAACAGGGGCGAATGATGGGCCTCGCTGCATCTACCGAAAATAAAAGAAGAAGGAAAAAAAACGCCAGGCCTGCGCATGAAGGCGCAGCAGAGTCATAGCGAAAGCTAGAAGAGCAACCTTTCAGAGCCTTTTCTAAACGCTTATTGAGTAACTGCTGCAAGCACACTTGCTTGATGCCCACTACAACATAAATAATAAAAGTTTTAGGGTAGTAGGCCTTCATTCGCCATGCTATTTTTTCGTGATTCTTCTGAGAAGCCTGGTATCCGCTAAACTATTGCGAGGAATTTTGTGCAAATTGTTCATGCAGTGGCTGATGACGATGAGGAATTATGGCTGAAGCGGGTATGCGCCACAGTTAATAGGGGAACATGAACAAGCTTTTGTAATGGGCTGGAGCATTGGACGACCCACTCGTTACACTACTCGCATTGTGCGACTGGTTGTTTTTTCACTGTTCTAAACCCTTTATAAGTCGTATCAACGCGATTGCTTTCCCAACATCAAGCCTGCCTAAGGCAAGTTTGCCAACAAGTCCAAAGCACCGGCGTAGCTCAGTGGTGCAATACTTGGTTGGCACCCAGCGGACCCGGGTACAAGCCCCACTGTGTCATTGGTACTAGGTTTTTTTTTCTTCTAATTTCGCGCGATGTAGTTACGGGCACCGGCGGCGGCGGACAACTACTGCTCTGTGTGAGACCCGAGTTGCGATTTCATAACAGCTTTCGCTGGAAAAAAAAAAAAAAAACACACTGTCGTGATCAATCGAAATGTGCGCCTGCAGAAAAGAAGACATCTTCACTGCAACAGAGCAGTAACACGCGGGCAGCATGTTGCTTGCTCCTCACTGCGTCAACACGTCATGATGCGATCATTCGCATACTTTTTCTAGTATAATTAGGAATTTAATGATGGCCAGTATGACGAAACTCGCGGTGTGTTGTGGCTGGAAAAAATGATATTTGAAACTTTCGAACTTAGTTTTCAAAGTAGGTGTTGCTGGCAAGAACTCCACCAGCAGTGCAAAATGTCGTGATCTCTATTATTGGTGCTTTTTTGATTACCAATCATTTTCAGTGCCCTATTCTGTAACTTTTGTTACAGGATAGGGCAGACAGACAGAATTTTAAGAAATGCTCCACCCAACAGCTCTTACTCATTTTCACAATGCCACCCACCGCTCGAGTGTTTCAGATAGTTTGCTTTCTCATTCGGACACACATTTGTGTCACCGATTTTCAATAGAAGACTTGAGCGTCTTGGTAAATTACGTCGGGGATTTTGACATCACTGCTCAACCAAAGGTAATGTTTCATGTAGTAAATGAACCTTTAACTGTTAAGGGGAGATGCGAGTCGAAAAACACTACTTTTCGTGCAAAGTTACATATTTTTTGTTTTTATTTGCTTTGAGAAGTACAGTTTTCGCTGCTTTCATGGCAAAAAAAAAAAAAAAACATTGCAATTAAACTCGAAGTATGTTAAAATTGCTTTTAAAGAGACACAAGATGGCTACTAAACATTAAAATGAGCTTATTGTCTAGAGTCCCTTGAAAATTGTCACCGGGCTACTTACCTTTGAATTTCGCTTGAGGAGCTCGCTAAAACCACGTGCTGGACCTTGGCTTGGCTCAGCTAACCACGATCGCCAAGCTCTCATGATAGAAGCAATCATCTTAAAAGACATACAATAAGTTTTCCGCATGGATGAGCATTAATCTATAGCTTTAAAATGCATTTTTTTCTTGCTTGGGATACATTTTTGGGCAGCTTCTTGAGTTGGGATATCATATTTTAGTATTTATGATTGCCCGATCGGGATGAAATTTTTCCCACATGCCATAACATGTGAAGAGTGCAAGTATTTCTTTAAAACATTATATAACCTGTAAAATGTATTATGAATCTAAAGTGAACAATTAGTATGGGCTGATGATTCTAAGGATTCTCACATTAAAATTTTTCTTGCCAATTAGAATGTCTTCCACGTACTTTCTTGATGCTTATTTGCATAGTATAGTTATTGTAGAGAAATATGATCCGTTAATGGCTGAGTGGCTAAACTTTAAAGTCTGACAGTGTCCTTCGGGTGAAGCGGGGGACAGAGGGAATTGACCCCTGTCCATTCCCACCCTCCATCGATGATCATGGCAAAACAATAATATTTAGGTTCATGAAAGGTTTGTCAAAAACAAACTATATGTTACATATTGTAGTGGAATAAAACTAAAACTGTGCAACTTACTATAAACACTAATTGCATATTTGAAATCACCACCACAAAGCCTGTATGTACAGCAAAAGTTCATTGCCTAGGCTACAGAGTAACACAACTTTTTTTTTCAAACCACATTTCCAACCCTTGATGTGCATAGTGTTTACTTAACCAAAAAAAAGTGTCTATGGTTTCAGAGTGATGGGCACCGCATTTCTGTGGGCAGAATTTCATCAGGCTGTTACAGAATATAGAAGTTGTCTTTGCTATCATTCATGGCCCCTATTTCATTTCCATCTCTCTCCAACAATGCCTGCCCTGTATGTATGGATGCGCATACATCGTAACATCCTGTGACAAATATATACCATGTGTATTTAACCCTTAGGTATCACGGCCAATCAATTTTGATGGAAGAAAAGTTAAGGTGAAGACAGGCATCCACCTAAGAAAAGGACAAGGCTTGTTCTTGTGTTCTCACAGTTGTTAAGTTACAAGCTTGTATTTCAAAGTAACATGAACCACTAGTTCCCTAGAACAGCAAGTCTGCCATGTAGAACATCATAAATATACAAAATTATGTCGTCTTAGTATTCTACCGTAATGGCGAAAGTAAATACCATTTTTCCCACTCTTTGCAAAAAAAAATAGAGGGCAGCAAAATAAAACTGACATTTTGTGTAAAGCTCCACAAGCAGATGCGTTAAGTGTGTGTTTATTTGCACAAGACATGCTCTGTCAGCCAGTTGCATCTAGTTGTCAACATCTCCATACTAATGTGACAAAAGTAATATCTTTGGGTCCTCTTGATTTTCTCGCTTCCAACAGTTTGGCGAATCACATCAAACACTGAAACAGTTATCAAATCAAATGGCAAAATAAACTGCAGATGAGCACATTTTCAGAGGTAATGGAATAATTCAATTAAGATGAGTTCCTTGACTGGAGGCATACTTCATATGAATGATGAAATGTGCCTATTCTTTGAAATGTGTACAGTGAAAGCAACAGATATGTCAACAGTATCTTCACAACATTTTCTTTTCTTTATTATACAAAGAAAGAATTACGCTCTGTAAGACATGTTTCGAGTCTTTCAATCTGTGGTCACGGAAGTGAAATAAGAATTTTCGCTAAGCTCGTAAGGCAACACTGTGGCATTGCATACAAATGAAGTTCAGGTGGTCATGTATAATAAGAACTTTCACTTTTTATTTATGTCTTTGGACACAAAAACACTTGAATAAAGATAAAATATATTTTCTTAAAACATAAAAAAATGACAAGATTGTATACTTTGCTTTGGTTTTCCTGTGAAAGTGAAGCAACAAAAAATTCCTATTTTTGCTGCAAATATACCGCTGTGTGACCGAAATCTCGATTAAATTGCAGCAGAAAAACAAAGCTGCCTCTTCCTGCCGATGCTAGGCTGAGGTGCAATAATACACCCGTATTAGGGCAGTTCTCAGCCAGTCAATTCATTCTCTAAACTTGACATAAAATTTGTACTACGGTTGGGTCATTAATCGAAGAGAATCGCACTTTTAGGACGGAGAGTGATAGCTTCGGCAGCACCTGAAAAAGGAAAGAAAAAAATTAATACATGACAAATATAGTATGTCTGCTAAGCATGCGAGAAGGCTGTTCAAATGCGATTGTGATATGCACAAAATAAAAAGTATGTAAATTCCTAGAAGGTAGTTGAAGAAAGCTCTTTAACAAAAAATAAAAATAAAAAAGAGAAGACTATCATTTCCAGACATCCAGGTCGAGAGAAATGTCACTAATACAATTCTGTGAAATCTGTTTTTCTTTTGATTCCCGGTCAGTGTTCTTTGAAAATATTGCTTACTCCCACGTTTAATAGAAACATATCTTTGTCCAATATTAGATAATATGACCACAAAAGTGGATTTTCATTGCTATATATAGACATCTATAATTTACTCTTTGGCATAACAGCTCAAACTATGTTCCAATAAACCACAATCTGCACGATTGCAGAGCCGCTGAGGCTGAACAGCATTGAAAAGCAGTGAAAATTGACCAGCTACTTCAATGCTGCTAAATAAATGTGCATTGCTGAGGGTGTAGCACATGTTCCTATTTTTTTTTTAGCTCTTTGGTTTTCTGGTTCCCATTAACAATGTACCAGTGAGATTCCACGGTACATTATCAGGCTACTTGGTGATCCATGATGCAAATGAAAAGAATGTACAAACCAAATCAAACTTTATTTCATCTGACGATGGTGGAAAAAAGCTGCTGTAATGCAGCTTAACCATGGCCGGTCTACTGTGGAACAATTCAATATTGAGTGGCACTAGCACATGGTGATCTTGACATTATTTTTTCATTTTGTTAGTTTGTCTTATGGCACTGACAAACACTACACAATATTGAGCAGCTGTGTATGTATACTCCCAAGAGGAAGCTATGATGCGAACTGTATGTCCACTGCTGTAAGTCAGGCAGTTAACTGAGTAACGATGTACAGGTAGTTAATGGGGTCACTACAGAAAAGAATGCAATAGTAGAAAAGTAAAATGTGCATGAAATTTCATAAAAAGCTAGTGATAGAAATCGCAAACAAACTAGATGAATTCTGCCAACTGACAAATGGTTAAACTTTCATGGATATGTCCGTGGGGGTTCATGTCTACATTGGTGATCATGGTACAAAAGCCGACGTTTCTAACCTTGGCTTTCTAACCTTTGTTTTTAACCAGTAGCAGCACATTGAGTCCATGCGATCTGAGGGGTTTTTTTAATGGTGTCTTGTGCTGTCACAGGAGGACTATGCAAGTGCAACCACAATTTCATTTTCCAATCTCTTCTTTCAGAAAACGAACCTCAGTATAAATTCATTTTGTCACAGTCTTAGAATCATGAATGAACCATACTTCGTAAACTTCATGAAAAATTTGCATGATTTGGCAGCGAAATATTTGAAAGGCCAAGGTCTTGAAATACATTTTACCAGGTAACTATCATATGGTGTTTTTGCATCTTCCAATATGCTGAGAGTTATTAATAAAACAAATTTACAATAACCAATCCTACATCGTCACCACCTGTTAACATGGATAATTGAACACCAATACACAGGCAGCACGAAAGAAAATAGACGGACATGAGACGAAAGCTTGTCCAATGTCAGTCCCTTTTCTTTCTTGCTGTGCCGTCCTTTCTTACTCGCTGTCTACATCAAATATGTAGTGAACAGGACTGCAGCAAGACCATTTAGATCCAGAGATTGCTTTGAGAGCATATAAAAGTAATTGAAAAACAGTTTAGAAAGGAAAGTTTGGTCACATTTGGCATATTTGTGAAACAGGTGCTGTTTTAAACACTGCAGACAAGCCTAACAATGCTTCTACACCAATCTCGCAGCATGCTATTGGTGCAGAGTTTTGTATTTAAAGATCTCTAGTTACACTGGTTGCCTAATGGACTGCACACAGCTAGGGGACTCGAGATAGATGTGCCATAAACATCCAACTCAAACCTCGATATAACAATTCCAGATATAATGAAATATCGGTTATAACGAAGTAAATGAAAAGTAGTCTTGCAATAAATACAGTGTTGGGAATATACCTTTATAAAAATTTTTCAGAGATAACAAACTTATTTTGTGTATGATGCAACTTCTCATAGTGAGGTTTTAGTGCTATGAGCACAACCAGTTTTACAGAATGCTGTTAATAGCACTGTATACCTGTCAACAAGAAGAGGGCACTTACACTTCAGCGCTGGTTAGCAAGGGTGCCAGTCAACCAGTGAGTAGAAAACTCACCTGATGCAGCCATGCCCTCTTGAATGCCATTGTCACCCTTGTCCATATCGTGCCTCAGTTCGCTGTTAATGGCGGTAACATCTGCAGCTTCCTTCTTGTAGAGTTCGTCGACAATCTCAGTAACCACAGGCAGCACTTGATCCTAGCATGGTCTCAGTCTGGTTCATGACCAGCAGCATCTGTTCCTTCAAGGCCTTGACACTGCTTTGAACCTCCATTAAATGGTGCAGCAGGGTGTCAATCTGAAAGCCACATACATAACTGCTTCACGGACAAATGAGACTTGTTCCACCAATTTCCTTATTTCAAAACAGTACCAATGTAGCAGCGCCATTAGTTCTTGCAGCCTTTATTCACAACAGGGATTCAGGCAAGGTTAGATTTTGATTTGGGCAAGTTGGTACATGGCTAGCTCGGGAAAGACAGCGAGAACACAGTACACTGGATGAGCGCTAAACTGGCATCTTTACTGCACCAACCACTTGTCTTAACAGCACACCAGACTGCGCAGACCATTCCAGTCAAACCCAAGTCGGCATTGTCATCGCTGACTATAGGATGTGGGTTTACTTTCCATCAAACTTTAGTTTCCAGTTAGGTGCCTGTACTGTGTGTTCTTTACTGTGTCCCATTTTCCTTGCACTAAGCTTCAACATGGGTTTCCAAACTAAATAGAAAGGGAATGAGGTAGTTGCTCCCAGAGGCATGAAGAAGCCATTTTCGAAAGAGCCTTGGAGAATGAAAGCATCTTGCATATTGCAACTGTAGTGGCAACTCTTCACAAGTGACATGACCAGCAGAAGTGGGTACAAACACATGTTTGGCTAATTGTCAGAATGAGAAAAAATGAAAGCTATATAGTATTTCAAAAGAAAAATCCAACTCACTTTTGCACTGAGCACTGCCTTGGATGATGGTACTAAAAAGAACAAAGAAATGCAGTATTAAAATGCAAGAACATTGTTTTACTTTACAGAGCTATTGCGACACACTTTGAACTTTGATGAACTGAACCTAACCAGAAGTTTCACTATAGCATTGCTTATTATTCATTATTTTTCTTTAACATGGCTTCTACAAACATCATCTTTAAAGAGTGGAGCAGTGTGGTGTGGGAGACAAGCACCCCTTGATCACACAGGCATCCCCTTACAGCACACCTGCAGGTTTGGCAACCAGGAGATATCTGTATCTGTGCACAGGTGAACTTTTATATATTGCAGTTGTGTTCTGGCTGATATCGGCACCTACCTTGGATAATACAAATTTTTAATGCATGGCACAAAGAAAGAAATGATGTCTAGAATGTTTTATCAGTCAGCTGCAGCGTTAGACATTTTATTTGATGCATTCACAATACCCCTGAGAGGTGGTATTACATATGGGGGTGGGCACATAAAAAAATAAGGAAAAAGAGAAATAAAAAAATCAATACCGGTGTGCAAAATACAACTGTGAAACATGTTAGGTAAAATAATGAAGGATATATAAAACATGGGTCAATACATTATCATAGCAGGCACAAATATGAAGCTTAGACATTGTGATTACAAAATAAATCTACAGTAGTAGTGGGTAGATTGATTTAAAATATACTGATACAATATATTTTAATGTATACATAACAAAATCAGTAGTAATATCAATCTAAGTAAAACTGTTTTTATGTAACAAAGCTTGAAGAGTTAGTAAGTCAGTTTCATTTGCTACGCATGATGCTAGGTCATTCCATTCAATTGTGGTGTCTTTTTAAGCGTCTACTGGGTCCTACAAAGCTTCCAATTGATAAAAATGAAGTACGGTGTAATCTATAGGTGCAATAGACTTTGCATACGAAGTTTCAGAAAATTTCATCAAGCCAATGCCATGGAAATTCTGAAAATACATTTTGAAATTTTTTACGTCGCGCGCGGTGATATTGGTCCAAAATTGAAAAATGAAACTACAATCTTAATTTTCTCCACTAATGAACTTACGGTAATGAAACATATGGCACAAAAGTTCTCAGAGTGCAATTTGTCAATTGCACTCTGAGCCAGGTCACTGTTCCTCTTTAGTGAAGTCATGTTCCTCTTTTGTGTTTGCCACCTTTAAAAATGCATTTTGTGAAAAAAAAAATTTATTTTGGGGAATTTCATACTTTCAAGCTCCCGGTACATTCAAGAATATCTAGAAAAAAGGATTATGAAGTTATCTTGAGCCGTTCAAAAGCTATGCCCATTTTTTGCAACCTCTGCTGGATGCATCCAAAGCAAACAGAAGGTTTTCGTTTCCGATTCCACTAAAACCTATCATATTGTTATAAATGTCTTTAGTATACTTATTACATGATTCTAAGTTGTCTAAGGGCATTCTAAAGCTTGTGAAGCATGAAGTTGTCAATTTATTTTAAAATTCCTACAACTTGGCTGTGGCACTCTTTCTGTAACTTTCTTCGCGTTTTTTTTTCGGCAGCCCGTTTTTTTTTTTTTACAGCAATTTCGAGTTCTTGGAGTTAGTACTGGACTTTTCAAGGAAAACTGACAATATTCACGATAAATGATGAAGTATAGGATGAAAAAGAAGTGTCAACGTAAGCTAAAGAATCAATATACCAAGCATGGACCCACTGTGGAGCACGGAGATGAGAGTCAGCTGGAGACACAAAACGAGCTAACAAAAAAATGTATGTTTTGTCTCTCTGAAACAAAGATTCTACCAGCTTTAAAAGAGGTCCCAAGGATATGAGCCCTGTGAATTTCAGGCATATTGAATGTTTCTTTGTTACAGAAACATTCGGTTCAAATCTTCAAAGCCATTTTTATGTAAGTGTGATTTTTGCATCCTACATCAACAGTGATAGCTTTTCTTGTAATAATTATTGCACATTAATTTGTCGTGCTGTTTCTTTATAGGTTGAACTGTGCATTCAAGCAGAATTATCAAAAACGAGCAGTAAGTTTCAGTCCTATGGCCAACTGTCTGCTAACAAACCTGTCAAAGATCAACTTTTTAGTTGATCTATAATAACGGGCTTAAGCTTAGAGATACAATGATCGTGGAGATTAGATGCACAGAGGTGTCGTCCTCACTAAGTAGCTGCAAGTTGCATTTGAGTCACACGAACAGTTTTTTAGTACTGTTGGCATAACATGCATATTTATGCACATTTAGATTTTTCGAAATTTTATTTTTTTACATTATTAGTCATTTAATCATCTTAAATGTTAAAATTTGCATAAGCCTGACAGGCCAAAATCATAATTATAACTTTTGGACTATAATAGTAAAATTTTTTCTCTATGGTGGTGACCTACTATTAAATATAACCTAAAGAAACCAGGAAAATGTGTTCCCTTTAACAGCAGATCTGTTTGCCTGAGAGATGAACAGGGGTGCAGAATACAGATATGAAACCAATCAAGCTGAAGGCAGTTGTTCCATTTTAGCAGCAGTTCCACATAACAGACTTCTATTTACTGATACCCTACAGTATATGAGAAAGATATATATGTTGTGTAAAGAAAATAAAGTGTGGCTATCTGCTATTGCCATCACACCTGCTTTCTTTAAAGAAGACAGTTCTTTTTGGGATAAATTAATGGTTGGCTTACTGACACTTTATGTGCCATTGGGCAGTCCTCAATGACTACACATGTGCACGGATGTCTGCTAATAACCTTGGTTTATTCAAACAGATGCGTGCACCCTTATGTGCGATGGTGAACTACTAGAAAGCCTTCTTGTCATTGTGAAAGTGCCATGAATAAGCATGACCACATGCCATCAGCATTTTTTCCCTGTGCTAACCTTCTTCCTTCCTTTGACTACATTTCTTTTGAAGATCAGCATCTCTTGAAATTTTTTTCTTGTTTGTTGCACCATTTTGTTGCACAATTTTACTTGAATTCTGCAGAACTGACAAGTTCAAAGTTTGGCATCACCAAGCAGCTCGCAATGAAGCCAGCAAAAGAAACATGCACAAATCCATGATGCCTGCACATACGTTTGTCCCTGTTGACAGAACTATGAGGGAGAGCTGCTGGTTGCAAGCTGGCCTTTGACGTGACGGCACTTGACCTAGCCTGTGGCAGAAGAAACAAAGAAGCACATGTAAGTCAGACAGACTACAAGGCAAAAAAGTATCGCTAATTAATTATAAATAACAAATCGAAGGTGATTTCTTTTTTTATGAGATGAGACAAATAATGCATGACAGAGTGTTTAAAATGGTCATCCACCATCTTCACAAAATTCTTTGTCTTACAATATCAAGATTATAAATGTAAGTGCCTGTAGCCTTATTAAAGGGACCCTAAAACAGCTTTGGCGATTTTGTACGCACACAGTGGGCCGATAGACCAAGTCATAAGGGTCATTTAGAGACCGATTTGAGCTCTCTGCATAAACCATGTAGTTTATCAGAATGCTTCAAAGCTGCGAATCACTGCAGATCGGTGCAGATTGCTGCAACAAAGGCATTTTAACCACCCATTCACAGAGCAACATGCTCTGGCCATTTGACGTCGCCGTGGCTGCTGATCTGATTGGATGTCATGGGCTATAGAATGCGCGGATGTAAGACCAGCTGGTAGGGTGGCGGCACCCGCAAGAGCAGATATGAACCACTTCCGCGATCTTCATCTCTGTTGTCAGAGGGTGTGCGTACTGCCGGGCGCACTGTGTGATGGCATTGGAGACTGTGTGCAAGCCTGTCAGCGTGCGATCTCATAGGTATAGACTGGTAAAAGCTCGAATCGTTGAGCGCACTACGAAAGCTCTGTGATCGCCAGTGATGCCAGCGTGCCTCATGAGTTGAGGAGGCCAGGCAGAGGTGTGAAGAATGGTATGATATAATTGTCCGTAGTGACCTTGGTACATGGCGTGTTACTAAGTTTGTAGTGTGAACGGTTTAATGATGCTCTATCCTAAACGCTGATAAAACTTAAAAAAACCGTTTCAGAGTCCTTTTAATAACACGTTGGTAGAGCATCGCAAGTGCAATTCAAAGGTTGTGGAACCAGAATCCATTGACAGAAAGGGGAATTTTTCATTGGCTTTATTTCAATTTGTGTCACAATTGGTACGATGCAGTTCAAGAGAGCAATGACCATGCTAATATCTATTTAGATTAGTTTCCAACATAAGAATAAGCCCCTTGAAAAAATTGCTTTCTTTTTTTGTTTAGTCAAGAATGTTGTTTTTAAGATGTGGGAAGCTAAAACGGTCCTTACAGCAGGCACTTTCTGTGCCTTCGGCCTGGTAGCTGTGCTGGCAGGACTTGTGGCAGCCGCTGACTTCTGGGTGCCGCTGTACTCTTTAATCAGCTTCACGATGTCCCTGCACATGATTATCTGAGCAAGAAGTATGAGTCAGCAAGTGCATGTTCAACTACACGTGTAGGCGTTCTCAGGATCCCCCTTCAGAGGAAGAAGTTTGTCACAGAGCTACTATTGACATAATAGGAACTTTATAGCCCCTCTCCCTCTCTTGAGTGACTAGGACCTTCCTTAGTCTATATGGCAGAAAGAGTAAGTGAACTGATTGGTCGCAGTAATTACAGCTGTCGACTGCACTACACAGCAGGGAATCGTGCCATGTTTATGACCCGATAACATTTTTCGCAAACAACAGCCTTACAATACTGCACTGCAGCATCACTATGATGGACTACACAATGCGTAATGTTCAAGTCTGAACATCCTTGCAATCATTGCACATTCTCTTCAATAATTGTTGTCATTAAGCCAAATTTTTTCCTTCGTCTTATATAGCTGCAAAAATGCCAACTGTGATCTCAGGAAAATTGAAGTTTCAAATGCCACTGATGCACACTTGGGCCATAGATAAGAGAGCACAATCTTGCAGTGCACTGCTCAAGGAATCGCCTTGAGAAATGCATCTCGACTGACAACCAGCTCAATAACAATGAAGTTGACAAGTGTGATGTTCAGACAATTTTGTGCGACCTATAGATGGTGAAACTATCAATCGTTCCAATAGACACCTCTGTGATCATAATCTTCTCTTGCATTGACATAATGACTGGCCACGCGCGCGGCTGGAACTCTACCCAACAGCTGACCAACAAACAAAGGACAGACCTTCTTCTCAGCGAAGCCAGATGAGAAAAACTGTGAAGTACTGAGCGGAGGTTTCCATTGGAAGAGCTCTCGTAGCACTAAGTACATTGTTTCGAGAAACTTTGTCCTGTTGTGCTTGTATGGAGGTAGTTTGAGGTCTCTCCGTAATATTTCATTGGCCAAGCGTGTGCTGTACCACTGGAACAGGTAGTCGTAGATTGGCAGGTAAACCTCTGGGTCGCCAGCCATCATCCTGCAGCACCAAATGAGAGAAAGTTCAGAAAACACATTATTACATAATTAAAGAAAATCATATTATATAATGTCTGTAAAAACTATGAGAATGTTTTCAACCTTTACATTATAAGAATCATGTACACCAGCTATCTCAAGATAGCACCATGTGCTGTGCAGTAGAAATGCTTGAGGCCCACTTGCGTGGTTTAAAAGGGGCTGCCCGTGCACTGATCTGGCAACTGGTGCCTTTGCTGCCCCAAAGGGTGAACGCTGCCACTGCCACGCTGCCAATAAACCCTATTTTGACTGCTGTATTCTGCTGCCCTGCCTCATGTCCAGAGGGTGTTGTACTGACCATTCTGTATAGGCTGTCATCTAAATAAACTTTTGCTTGCTGTGCATTGAGGCCTCAGTCATCCATGCTTCAACTATATATAGACAGGACACAGCCAGTTCAATACTCTCAGCATTTAAAGGGATCAACATGCCATTTTTCTGGTACCCATTTTTGTTTCAGTGTAATGGAAAGCTTACCAGATAAGTGTCTAATCGCAGAATGAAAGAATGCATAAGCAGGAGTCGTGTCGAGCTAACGTTTCGACAAGCAGACTTGTCTTCCATGAGGCTACCACGATTTGCTGTTGGGGGTGCGGGTATATGCAGGGGCGGGTTGTACAGGATAAAATACGCTATACAGATGACCCTTAGAGCGTGCTGAGTGTGCAGCGTCGCAAATGAGCATGCCAAAGCATCACTAGAAGCCAACTGAAAAGTGCAACTGAAAGTATTAAGCTACGCACTGCTATAGCCATAAGTGAACTGACAAGAAAGCCGTAATCGCTCCGTACTCTTTTACGGCTCTATTGCTTTAATCTACCACTGTGTTAGCTGTGCACCTTTGTAGCGTATTCGTTATCGATGAACGCAACTACAATATCCTGAGCATAGGTTGTGGCAAATGTACGGTAGTTCTATTTTCAATCTGTGCACGCTGCGCTGGCTCTGCCCGTGCCTTCAGAACTACGTTGCTGCTATATTTTTTTTCGCATCGACGCGGTTATGTCCGCGGTGTGGCGGCAATGGATTGAGTCGGTCCGCATTGGATGTGGGCGTACTTTCGCGGTCACCCGTGATCGCGAAAATTTGACCACATTTGTTTTCGCAGCGGTTGCGGCAGAATGTAGTTACGCTTGAACTCGTGCGCACTAAACGCGCATGCGCTTTCGTGATGCCGTGGATGTCATTCAAGATCGCAGGGCAAGTGATAACGAGTGGTAGTTTTGTTTTGAGCGTGACGTCAGTTACATGACTGGAGTTCTTGAAGAATGATATTCTACTGTGGCCTACCATACCCACAGGCAGCATCATGGTTGATGCACGTTCTCTCATCAAGCATTTCAATGGCGAAAAATTTTCCGGAATGCACGTGTGGTGGCCGGCAGAAAGCATGTCTCTGATGAAGACACAGATACGTGTTGAGATTCGGCCACGCTCTAGATGTCACAAGCCAGTGAGAAATGGCCGAGTTGTTTGCGGAAATTTCATGGCAATCCTAGCCAAGTTCCTTTTCTTGTGTGACAGAACTCGCGAAAACTTCGATAATATGGAAATATCTAAGAAAAGTATTCGTTGTGACAAGACATTTTTCCCAGTTTGAGCGGCTGGCAGGGAATTGAAAATTATTCGTTGTGGCAGACATTTCGAGCGGTATTCAACTGTACTTCCTACATTTGCAAAAATTGCTAAGCGGATTAAATATAAGATGATTGCACGTTTTCAACAGTAAACAATATCATCGCAAAATAATAATATAGATTCTGCAAAAATAAATCTACTGTATCTGCTTTAGTGAAGAATACATTATAGAAAGCAATAAAAAGAAAATATATACAATAAAAATATTTCTGGATTTCAGGAGGGCATTTGACAGCATACAGTACAATATGCTGTCATGCAAACTTTCGTACAAAGGCATTCAGGGTACTATAGTTTATCTAATACAAAGTTACCTGTCATCCAGAAAACAATATACAACTACAAACAATATACACTCTCAACTTGAATTCATCAAGTGTGGTGTTCCTTAGGGATCAATCCTTGGACCTGTCCTATTCCAACTGTTCATCAATGACAATGTAAATATTGAAGGACATAATTTTGTATGCTGATGACATGAACATATTTTTCGCTGGTTCAGACGTTTGTGAACTATACGCAAGACACCAACGTATGGATGAATAAGCTAAACATATGAATTGATTGATATGTGGGGTTTAACGTCCCAAAACCACCATATCATTATGAGAGACACCGTAGTGGAGGGCTCTGGAAATTTTGACCACCTGGGGTTCTTTAACGTGCACCCAAATCTGAGGACACGGGCCTACAACATTTCCGCCTCCATCGGAAATGCAGCCAAGATTTGAACCCGCGACCTGCGGGTCAGCAGCCATGTACCTTAGCCACTAGACCACCGCGGCGGGGCCTAAACATATGAATAAACGTTAACAAACTTCAACTGAACATCACTAAAATAAAGTACATGTTCTTCAAACCTAAAAGGGTAATTTACATTCCATGCACACCAATTTACTTCCAGGGCAGTAATATTCAGCGAACAGGAATAAAATTTCTGGGAATGGAATTCCAAGAACGACTTTTTTGGACCTCCTACACTGATGAAATAAAAAAAAAAAAACATGGGTGCAGAATAATCGGCATTTTAAATAGACTAAGGTAATGCGTTCCAAGAAATATCAGCGACAAACTTACTACGCTCTAGTGCACTTACGAGTAACATACTGTTCCTTAGTGTGTTTAACCATGACTGTCACAACCTTAATTGTTTTCCAGTACTATATAAGTGGGCAATGCGTGCAATCTCCAACACTCCACTCTATGATATTACTCGACCATGTTTCATAAGGTACAAAATATTGCCTGTCAAACAGTTATACAAACACAAGCACCTATGTTTAGAGATACTATGCGAGTATTGAGTAAATGTATCACTATTCTTGGATACATGCTATGTGAAACAAACACCACATGAAATACACAAAATTTTAATTATATATATATGTGTATATATATAGTTAGAAAGAGAGACTTATTAAAGGTATCAAATGAACGAATGAATGTCTGTTACATAAAACAAAGCTTTAATTTTTTAATGCGTACGTCACATGCACAAGAGAAGTGCAAATATATTTTTGTCATCCTGTGACTTCGTTCTCAATGCAACCATGGCACCCGATTCCCTACTTGTCACTGCCCCATGATCTGAATTTTGAAAGCCTGAAAGAAAAAGGAGCAGGCATAAGCCTGAGATATAGCTGCAAGACAGAATGGCCATCAGTCCATTGGTAAAGGATTAAAGCCTAGCCGAGCTGTTAAAAAATATGTCGGACCAGTGCCAGGGAAGGCTTTGCCCCCCCCATAAAGCAGTAAGGAAGGGGCCTGAGCCCCCCAGCTCCCCCGTACTCTTCGCCTATGCAAGACACCCTAAACCAACGCCCAACCATACTTCATATAATGCACAATGGAATGTCGTCTAGCTTATTAAAAAAAATAATGGGAGAATGCCTAATGGAAGAAAGCGATAATTTCCTTGATACTCATAATCTTGTGATCATAGATGTCTTGCATTTTTTCACACCTTTTTCATCATGACATGTGATTGTTCATTATATTACTGTTAATGACAACTTTGAATCGGTACATAATACCTCTTTCTTTCGAAATTTCATTTGAGTGCCTTTTTACTAATTTCACCTGTTGTACATAAGCATGCCCTAGTCATGTCATTTATTTTTGCATTAGGTCACTTTCCAAGCACTCATTGCTAGTATTCCCATGACTCTAACGAGTGTTGTGTTTACATTTTTGTGCAATTCATTCGCCACAGAGTTGAGAAGCTTTATTATATTTAATTTGCCTGAAGTTGGTTGTAAGCTCGCATTCGTTGTATTAGCTCTGTCTTATCTTGAAACCCATATAGACCAATATGTACCATTTCATTCTGTACTAACAATACTTGCTGGTGTGTTTCTTCTGCTTTGCTGCCAGGTTAGCACGACCTAGTCAGGTGATTACTCGGCCTTTAGTTGTGTTGCAAGAATTTTGCTTTGAATAAATCAAATCAATGCATTGAAACATTAAATGCAATATTATCCAGTACCTAATTGACATACTGCAGCCTAAGCACCTTCAAAAAAGAAAGTATATTAGTGTTTTTGTATTCTTGTATCGGTATCCTCGCAACTGTATTTCAGAATACATTTCTTGTCTTTTTACTAGTGCATTTCCGAAATATCCCATTAGTACGTCCAAGTCAAATGTATCTTGGTATCTGTACTTTAGGCTTCCAACACATGCATTTTGATGTCTGTATTTCGGAATACTTTCCCGAGTAGCTCTGCCCAACCCTGGGCCAGTACCAGAATTTCTGCGACTCAGGATCTTTGATGCTATCGCGTTCATATGTATACCGTGACATTCACCAAACACCATGGCGTCATAGATATTAAAAGCATGTGCTGGGTGCTACGTAGCTTCTAATCAATATTAATGAAGTATATTGTCATCTGTGGGTGCCATAGAATCACCATAAATTTCAGAAAACTTCAAGTCAATTTCGGGAAAATACTAGAGGTGTGCAAACAGTCTAAATTTCTAATATTTTTCTAATAGTGCTTGCTATTTGATTCGCACTGAAATTTTACCATTCTAACTACCCAAAGACAAATAAAGTCAACGTCCGATTACCAAGTAACCCCTTCAAATTTTCAGTATGCTTCATCTTATTGCACTTTCACATTGCGGCAAAGCTGCCTTCTGCCTTTCAATCTTCACTACAGTTGCAAACTTATTGGCTCGATAAAACGCTGCTTCCAACATGGACATGATAAATGTGACCCAGGTGGAGGCTCACTATTGATTTGGACCTGAAATTAGGGCAAGAAGTCCAAAAAATCAGATGCCAAATTTTTTTAATATCCAAAATTTCAGATGTTCTCATATAGTGGCATCTACGAGATTGATTTAGAACTCATGATTTTAAAGAAGTGTGCCCTTGCCCGCCACATTAGTTAAGCTTTCACAGTAACTGAAAGACGAGGAGAAACTCAGCAAATCGCATCTTTGCCTTTCACATGTAATGTGTTGTTGGAAACACTTTAGTTGCACCAAATCATATTCATAAATGAAATTCGGCCTCTGCATTGCTTCATTCTGAATAAGACAACTTTGAAAAACAACCCCATCACCACTTCATCCATCTAGTGAAAAGAAACATTTTCATGTTGCTGTCTCATAAGAATATGAGATCGTGACATGCTTAGGAATCCTCCCCAAGTTTATTCTGCAATTTTCCTTTGAAGTATTGGAAAAATATTCTAGAAATACTTCACAAATTTAAAAAAAATATCTGATTCACTTCACATTCGCACTTCAGTATTCGAATTCTCTTTGCACTCAAAATTTTGCTATTTGCACAGCTCTAGAAGATATGAAAAATGGATTTTAAAATTTTTGACATCACGCACGTAGATTTCAGTGCAGAGTTTAAAAATGAAACTTTAACCTTGGCTTTTGCCAATAGTAATGAACTTATGATGGTAAAGCTTGTGGCATTAGAGTTCTCAGAGTACAGTTTGTTAATCTAAACCAAATAAGTATTTTTCTTTAGTCTTCCTTAAATAGGGTGAGCAAGCAAATACATGGCCTCGCTCCAGGAGTGCTAACAACGCATCAAAAGGCAAACTTGTGCAGGTACAATGGCACTTATAGGCATGGCTTTGTCTAATCTGCTACACTGCTTACTTTAGTGTGCCAAGCCTACATTGCCCTCTCTAAATCTTTTCATTGTATGAGGGTGACTTGAAAATTCTTTGCCCATATTTTTTTAGACAACTTATGACTGTACAATACTTGTGGATACAAACGAAACATCAAATTTCAATGTGCAATTGCTTGAGATAACCACGTCATGCTATGACGAATCAGGTCTCTCAAGTTGGCCTTTGAGTGGAAATTACGCAGATATTTTCTGAATTGAAGACAGTGGAAATGAAACGATATGTGTTACTTAATCCTAAATCGTCCCGTTTCAATCCATGAGTACTGTACATTCGACTGTATATTCATTCCCAGCAGTGGACCTTTTTTGGAGTGGCCCAGCCTCATCTTTCAGCAGCTCGGTGGCATGGTACTGTTGTTAGTTGTTGAAGATGGCAGTTGCGTTTCACACGCATGTGGCACATCAGCAAAGTGCTATTCATTTTTATTCACAAAAAGTTTGCAAGAAAATGCAGCTGACATAATTGGGAATAGTATCTTGTTTTAAAAGGCATAAAATGATAGTGTCGCGAGATGCCAAAGGCTATGAAGACTTGCATGATAACGAATGTTTGGTAAGGAAGCATCCGTGATGGCCTATAACACGGGCATCTCAAATTGAATTATGAGATGGGAGAAATGTCTGACCCGGCCCTGCAAATATGTGGAAAAATAGAGAAAATGTACAGAGAATAATACATACTCTATTTTGTGTAATAAAAAATGGCGGCAAGGACTTTCTGTTTTGCCCTTATAGTAATCTCAAAGTGGAGAAGACAACTCTGAATCTGTGTACAGCGCTTAGAAAGCAAAATTTCATCATTCTCGGAGCAATGAGATGCATTGACACCAGCATACATTCATGTTCTACAAAAATCTCTCATCTTTTATTGACATTACCTGAGGATATGAAAGAAGTTGTATTCCAAGTGAAAGGGCAACAAGTTTGCTGGTCTTTGGACGGTTAACTTGACTAATAGTGGGTAATCCCAGCTACCACCTCATCATGCATAGGGTGGCACATATAACAGACATAATATACAAATAATTTACAAAGTTGTACTAAACTAAAACAACTTGGTGCAAAATTCGAGCGTGTTCAAGCCCGTGGCATAGCTGACAGTATACGGGATATTCATATGTATTCATATTTAATATTTCACTGATCAAGTCAAGTTGGCATCCTCCTCAGAGCAGGGAAAAGAAGAAAAAAAAAGTACCTTTGCTGGAAAGTGACACAATGAAAGCCTCAGAAAACCAGTTTTTATAGCACAGAATTTTTTTCCACAAGCTGTTGCCCATGTATGTAGTTCATAGAAGACACAGACAAGGAAGGAACACACACGGAGCACTAATTTTCAAGTTTCATTGAAGCTAAGTGGCAAACCTGCCGAATGTAGAAAATTAGTTCCAGCAGCATTTTTCTTGCCTTCTATGATGAATTTCAATCCAAGGCAGAGTACTCGAACACTACCTGGCAAATGTACTTGTTTGAGAAGATTGACATCGGTACCAAAAGAGTGTAAGTAGTAAGGTATAAGTATACAGTTTATTGCGTAACAAACAAGCACAAGCTGATGGCACAATAGGTCCTTCGTTGAAATATTTTTTTTTACATTGTAAGCACTATTTCCAACGACCAGTGACCAATATTGTGACACCATGAGAGACCTATGGCAGCCTTCAACAAATGCTTACTACTTCCAACAGCGTATCGCATACAAAAGAATCAAAACAAAATGTCAGCTAATTTTAAGCATCATGCAAATTAGAGACCGTGGCACACTAAGTAGCGCGTGCACATTGTTCATTATTTGCAGTGGTGGCTGCGGTGTTGTTGAGCACTGTATATCTCTAGCAGCACGCCTTGTTTTTATAACATTGCAGCAATGCTTGCAGTGTTGCGAGTGTTTAAAGGCATCGAGTTGAAATGTTTTCGGCAAACGCGGGTGCGAAATACAAAAGTGCTTGTGCACATCGAAGTACGCGAGGTATAAATTCACTCTTTGGGCACAGAGAGATAAATTATTACAAAAAAGGCATTTAGCGGTCCGGGCTTCACAACGTCTCTGTTCCAGCTCCGATACCACACTTCACCCGAAGATCCTCCGCTCCTGAGGCATCCATTTGCTTACATGTGCTCTGACGGAGCAATAGAACTAAAAAAATATATATACATTTCAAATGACAGGTGAACTATCGAAGTGAGTGCACCACAGTCCAAGCAGGCCTGAAGCGCCGTATGTACGCGTCATGAAAGAGCGAGAGAACGCATACCAAGCACAATATTTAACCGATAACGATAAGATATCCGCAGCGCGGAGAGTTCAACGGAATGCGAGTGCTTACCAGTATGACACAATGAGGCCAACGGCATGCTCTATTTACAGCCTCACCGCCTAAGCATTGCAGCACAGCGACCGCGGTCGATAAAGACAAAAAGAAAAGAGATAGAGAAAACGACAGCACACGGGGTTGCGGATTGACCGCTCTAACAGTAAAAGCAATCGCGAGAAGGCAACGTCTGAAAGCGTTAAATGTTCATAACATGCGCGCGCTTGAAATCGGGTGAGCTCGCTTGTAATCTGAAACCAGGGTTGTTGGAAGGTTTATAGCTTCGGCCTTCTCACCCTTCGAGGTTTACGAGAGCCGACGGTGTTTTGACGCTGCGGATTTCTGCGCTGAGCATCTTGAGGTTGTTCCTGATGTCTCCCGTGGCCATTTTCGAGGCTGCGTCGGCACAAAAATAAACACGAACGGTTTGCACGAACCAGTGGGCGGAACGATGCTAGCCACCCTAGCGATGCGAACAGGCCGCCGCTGTTCTTTGAAATCCCCGCACCAAAACAATAACTGCTCCGCAGCAAAAACAACTACAACTATTGTTTAAAAAAATTGTAAACTATTACGAGGTAACCAAAAAATAAAAGAAAATTAGTTAATTAAATTTTAAGATTTTGTAAATATTGTAAAACATTAGCATAAGTTTATGACGAACGAGACAGCATTAGCGACAAATTTTTGCCGCGACAAATAATTGCACTAGCTTAATAATGCAAATAAATATAAATAATTATTTTGGTAATAAATGTCAAGGTTAAATACAAACTTCGAACCTCAGAACTTTTTTTTCGGACCTGCTGCCGCTGGATGTTGATGATCGGCCGATCGGTGGTGGCTGACTGTGGTGTCTGCTGCTGTGGATGCTGTAATCACTGTAACTGTGTTGAAAGCCAGCGACAAAATACTACAAATATTTTGTAAAGATGTCGTTTGACTCCGGTGACGCCAGTGCGGGTGTGGACCGAGAAATGCAACAGTTCTTGGCCGTGGAGCAGCAGAAAGCACAATTCCAGGCGCAGGTGGGAACACGTGTGTATCCTGTGTCACTTCGAAGCTTTTCATCTTTGCGCCGTGACGCCCTTTTGCAGCATCAGCTAGCGTTTCTCATGTAGCTACATGTTTACAATGTTTCGTGTTTATGTTGGACGTGCGGCTGAGCATGCTGCACAATCCGGCGGCACTTGCTACCGGCGTTGAGGCGGCTTGTGCCTTTATCAAGTCTCGTTCATTCTTCTCTGTAGCGGCTCCTCAGGTGTCAGCCTGCAGTGTCTGATTTTGTAGCGGTGCATTGAGTGCTTTCATCTCTAAGGGGTCCCTTCGAAGCTTAGTTTATTTTCATCGGTGATGATTCTTCGTGAAGGTCAAAACAGCAGTGCCTTCTGCGGAGCTGTGTCCCTGATGTAGTGTTTCGGGCCAGACATTCATGAGCATCTGCGGTAATGAGGGAGTTAAGTTAGATTTGAGGGTCAGTAAGGAAAATTCAGCAGTCATGATATTTAATAATAATGAAGGTAGTGTGCTTACGATACAGGAGGTCACGCTAGAGATAAGGAATAAATACAAATATCTGGGCGTATGGATAAGCAATGGGACCGAGTACCTAAGGGAACACGAAATATACGTAACGACTGAAGAAAACAGGAATGCAGCGGTGATGAAAAATAGGGCACTGTGGAATTACAATAGGACCGACTCTATACGCACGACGTCGTGGGTCTTGGCGGAAGCGTGTATACGCACGACGCGACTGAGGCGCCACGACACGCCACGCGGCAACTTCAGAAAACGGAAAGCGCCCTCGCTACTCTCGCTGCTCAGTGCACGTCCACGTGCGTATTCATGCTTTCATCGAGCGGCCGTGCACAGGCGCCTCGCTTTGTTGTTCTAGTGGCCGCAGTGTGGTGAACGGCATGGGATTCGAAGTTGGGGCACGGTTTAGTTGTTTTAGCGATTTTGATCGCGCCTTTAGGGAATACCAGCTCCAAAACAATACCCTTTTCGTAGCAAAAGCGACAAAGACAGTGGACGTCGTCAATTCGCGGCTAAGTGTCGGACTTGAACGTCTGCAAAAGAAGCTCAAGTACGCAAACGCGACGTATGTGTGTAAACACGCCGGGGAACGGAGGTGCACTGCTACTGGTGTACGACCTCAGCAAAGGTGAGCTGCAATCCATCTATCCTTTCTTAACTTGTACACTTTAACAATTAGCTAACCTCTTGGGTTACGTTTCCAGTAGTTACGAATAGAAAAAAAAAATGTGCGCAGGACCATGAAGCAAGGGTGTCCCGCGACCGTTGTCATCGCAGCACGTCGGACCAGCCAGCAGTTAGAGATAACAAAGATTGACTGCAACCACAACCACGAAGTGAACAAGGAAATTTTCCAGCTGTATCCGGAAAACCGCCGGCTTAGGCACCATGAAAAGGAATATGTCCTTCCTTTGCTTGACCTCAATGTGTTGCCCAATGTCATAGCTGGGAAGCTAGCAGAAAAGACGGGTAAGGACATGTGTTTTTTCCCTCTTTTTGCGACGCATTGATTGCCTTAATTTTCGCACTTCCCGTCTTATTTTTCTCAGAGTGCTCAATTATGACTTCCGAATATTTTTTCCTGTTTTGTCAGTGCATGCTATTCATGCATGTCTTTCTTTCCTGGCTTTTACCAACAGGAAAGGTGGTAACAACGCAGGATCTGCACAATGTCAAGCGAAATTGTCACGGCCGAGACGAAGCTGAACAACTTCTTCAGGAGATAGAGAAGTGTCGTCAGCAGCATCGGGCAAAGATAATTCCTATCACAGATGAAAATGAGGAGCTGCAAATTTTGTTTATTCAAACGCCACACATGCAGCAAGCATATAAGTCCTTCCCAGAGGTGGTGTTGCTTGATGCAACATATAGGACAAACAAGTTAAAGATGCCACTTTTTGTATTTGTCGTGCAAGATGGGTGTGGAGAAAGCCAAGTAATTGCTTATGCTTTTGTTGCTTCTGAGCAGTGTCACCACGTCACTGAAATGCTCAACCTCTTCGTGAAGGAAAACCCTTGTTCTGAAAATACTGGCGTCATAGTCGTGGACAAGGACTTCACCGAAATTAGTGCAATTCGTAGCGCTTTCCCATCTGCTCCATCAATACAGTTGTGCCAGTTTCATGTGATGAAAGCGTTCAGAACAGCAGCTAGCCACTTAGCACGTTCCGCTGAAGAACGTGACAAAATGGTGACCACATTCAATGAAATGCTGCACGCCCCTAATTCAAGCAAATTTGAAGATGCACAGTCTGAGTTCACAAGGTTTGCAAGCAAAGACTCAATAGAGTACCTCGAGAAGAATTGGCTCTCAATTAAGAACATGTGGGTTCGCCACATCTGCGACCAAGAGTTCACTTGTGGAGCCAACACAACTAACAGAGTTGAAGCGCACAATGGTTTCATAAAAACGGCATTGTCATCATCAACAAAGCTTCATGATGCTGTAAGGAAACTGCTAGATTTATCAAGCAGTATTGAAAGAAAGTCGGCCCACTCAGCAACATTGCTGAAGACATGCATCTTCTACAACCATTCTAGCAATAATAAAATTGAAGAGGCATGTGCTAAAGTGCTGACCCCGTTTGCTTGTGGAGTAATTAGAAAGCAGTTCAGCAAACTTGCAGAAAATGATATTGAAGTGAAGAAAACAAAAGAAAAATTGTACCATGTTACATTTTCAAATGGAGAAAGGTGGCATGATATTTCCATTGAAAGTCACTCGTGCAGCTGCACCTTCTCTTCCAAAATGGGGTTGCCTTGCCGGCACTTGTTGGCCGTGTACGTCAAATACGACATTGAGCCTGACTTGGACAAAGCAGTACGAAGCCGCTGGTTCAAACGGTACCAGGCCGCATTCTTGCCAAATCAGCAAGCCGCTGCTGAGAACAGCACCCCCACAGACCCCGAATACTTTCGATGCCTGGCCCAAATTTTGAAAAAATGAACCGTAATCAGCGATACAATTTTGCTATGCGGACACTCAAGTCACTTGCTGACACGTTGGCCGATTGTCAACCTGGTATCTTTGCACAACGACTCGGGTTCTTGGAGGATTTGAATAGCACTTGGCTCAAAGGAGGTGAAGAGAACAAAAGGGACTGCTCTATAAATTTAGCCACCAGCAGTAACAGTGAGTGTGACACACAAGCAGCTGAAAATCCTCATAGTCAAGCCGTTGAAGTGGAAAACATGCAGAAGAAACCTGAGGAAGCTGAAAATTCGGGTCAAGCCATTGAGCTGGAAAACATGCAGGAGAAAGCTGAAGAACCCGACAATCCTGGTCAACCCGTTGTAGTAAAAAACGTGCAGGAGAAAGCTGAGGAAACAGGGAAAAGCTGTCCAATAAAGCTTCCAGTGGTGAAAAGCAGAGGACGTCCTGCCAAGCGCATTCGCCAAAGAACAATGAAGAGGAAGAGACAAGGAGAAGGTCCTGTGCCTTTCAAGGATTTATCTCCGAGGTCTCAAGAAAAGTGTAAGAAAATATGCCTTTTGCAAGCGTTCTGGAAGTGTGCAATCATTACTTGCTTGGAATGGAACAGAAAACGTTTCTAGTGATGATTTTTTGTCAGATGCATAATTTTTAAGAACTTTTAAACATGCACTAGCTACGTCCCTCAAGAAAGGTTAATCTGAGGAAATGTTCTTTATTGGCATGGCTTGTCATGCTTGTGCATTATGTGCTGGATATTTTTTTCAGTGATCCTAACTGGCATTGCTGGCCAGGAGGCTGCAGCACGTGTTTTGAATGAAGGGGGAATTCTCGATGAGAGTGATATTGAAGTGCGCCCCGAGGAGTTGGCGAGCGCCCTCCTAGACCACCGGGTATCATTGCCAAAGCTGAAGAAATACTTCACTGCAGAGGCATGGCTGTTGCTCTCATCATCCCGTAAGACCTATCTCTTTCTGGTCGTTTATCATTGTTTTGTGACTGCCATGCATGAGCAACTGTTCCTTGTCTGCAGTTGCTGTGAAAAAAAAAGGAGACATATGGAGCTGTGCACAATGCAAGAAAAAGGATGATGGCGAAATAAAATGGTTTTGTGTGATCAGTGCTTGGAATGGTTTCACTGGTAAGTATAGGATGGCATAAGGTCATAATTTATGTTCTTACATGCTTTTCTCCATTATATTACAGGCCGTGTGCTTCAGTGAAGAAGGAGGACCTAAAGCGTCACTGGTTCTGTATGAAGTGTTGCAGTCACACATAGATACTTCCTGGAGCAATAAACGCATGCTTTTTTTCTTTTTGCACTTATGCTGTTTTGTTTTGCTGCTGAATAGACGGTAGGCAGTCTTCGGTAGTGCAGTGCCTTGTCAGCTCGAAACTGCAGTACTGCTACGGGTCCGTCCGCTCTGTTGCAAACGTTCAGGAGAGCTTAGTATATCTCATACGCCCCCGCGCATGAGATGAGGGAATCGCGAGAGACCAAGGTGACTGAAGTGTTTGACGCATGTTGCGTCCTGTCTATTTCAGTTCTCACCAAGGAAGCACATCAGCGTTAGGTTACTTTTTTTGTGTAGCGTGAAAGTTTAAATAGGGAGACCCTGAGAAAAAGGGAAGGGGGGGGGGTAATTTGACACAGCAGGATGAGAAATTTACTACAGTAAATTATTTCTAAACTTTTATATCTTGTCATCTATGAAACAGGGAAATAGAGTAACTGATACAAGTGTAAGTTGAAATACATGTAACTGTAATATGCTCCAACATGAAACTGTTTCGACGGTGAGGACAGCCAGCGTGTGAACAGCGCGGCTAGCTGACTTTTTCTGAAGCTCGGAGTGCTTGCTGCCAACACATGCTCAAACAGGATGGCCAGATGTATATGAACTGAAGGCACTGCTGAACAATAATAGGGTGTTCACCCTATTAGCGTTGTCAAAGACCTCCATTTCCACTGCAAGCTGGTTTCTTCCAACGAGGACAACTTTTCATGGCAATGAAGGGAAAGCTACGGGGGCGGAGCTTCTGCACATGTACAGCCGCCCAAATCTTTTTAACTATCGTGCGCGAACGCCGACTTTGTGCGTTAGCGCCGTACGACGGAGCCAAGTTGCAAACGGCGAGAGTAAGCGCAGTCCCATGACGCGCGCACATGGGCCTATCGTCTGCTCGGCTGTTCCTTCGTGAGAACGTCACCCTGCATTAACTTAGTTCAGAAGAACAGGCAGCGCGTCTGGCTCGTATCTTAATATTCCGAAGATTAGCAAGCAACCGAGAAAATGAAATCCGCAGATACGTCACACGCCCCCGCGCATGAGATAAGCTGACAAATGTGGATCGTTCATTTGTTATCTGGCGACGCAAACGCTTTTTTTTTTTTTTAAGTTTTCTCTCGCCCTATTTGGAACATGGCTCCGTCGTATGGCGTTGACGCACAAAAAGGTCGGCGCTCGCGCACGAGATTTGGATAGTTATAGATTTGGGAGTCTGTACATCTCACTAGTGTGTGCTGCGTCCTGTCTCAAAGAGGGCTACATGTAGAAAATAAAAGAGTTGTTCTGATAACTTACCTAGAAATACGGTGGCATTTGCGGGACTACATTATTTACGATAGGATACGCGCGATTTGACTCTGCAGCCTTCGCTTCAATGCCAAGAAAAAGTTGTCCGCGAGTATAGTGGTCTACCCCATTGAAAACTGCTGCTCTTTGCATGCGCAATTACGTGCAGAGCGATAAGGTGAGCAAGGTGCAGCACACGCTCTCGTTTGCATTAAAACATCGTACTGTTCACAGCTGTAGGGCCCGTTACTTTGGCAACATCCACTAAACAGTTGTCACACGCGCGGCGACCGAACAGACACGCGCAGACTACTCGGAAGCATGCATCGGTAGTCCGATCCGGAAGGTTTCAGCAACTGCCGCGTGGCGCGTCAGTCGCGTCGTGCGTATACACGCTTCCGCCAAGACCCACGACGTCGTGCGTATAGAGTCGGTCTTACAATAGGTATGTTGTGAGAGGAATATGGAAAGGGGTCATGGTTCCTGGTCTGAAATGCAGTCTCGTGCATGAGATCAGAGGTTCAAGCAAGATTAGAAATTAAGCAACGAGGAATAGGTAGGCTTGCTTTAGGAGCTCACAGGAATACACCAAGTCAGGGAGTACAAGGTGACATGGGATGGACATCATTCGAGGGCAGGGAAGCTAGCAGCAAGGTGAAATTTGAGAAGCGATTGAGAGAAATGGGGGAGGAGCGTTGGGCTAGGAAGGTATTCAGCTACTTGTACATGAAGAATGTCGATACAAAATGGCGGAAGCGAACCAGAAAATTGACTGGTAAATACTTGGAAAACAGCAGGGGCCAAACCAAAAAGAATTATTGGTTAAGAAGGAGGTGAAGGAAGCCGAGATCGATATGTGGAGAATTGGCATGATTAATAAGTCTGCACTAAAGATCTATCAAACTTTTAAGCAGGAAATTGCCAAGGAAAGGATCTATGACAACAGTCGGGATAGTTCTCTACTGTTTGAGGCCAGGACGGGAGTATTGCGAACAAAGACATATCGGGCCAAATACGAAGGGGTAGACACGGTATGCAGTGCGTGTGGAGAGGAAGAAGAAACTGCCGAACACTTGATAATGTTCTGTAAAGGGCTTCACCCTGTAGTTCAGGTTGATTGCGCAGAGTTTTTCAAAGCACTGGGGTTTAGGGACAGGGGGGGCAAAATAGATTTTAAGCGGGTACAATTAACTAGACGGAGGTTATCTGATTGGTGGCTAAAGTCAAGGCACGAGTGAAAATTAAACCCTTTAGTGTGATCTACCATCCTCAACTTCACTATTTAAAGGAAAAAAAGACACATATAGTTTTTGGTTCACTAAGTAATATGGCTAGGTGGCGTTAGCCACCGCCCGATTTATAGGGTACAGCCATATCAATCAATCATCCATCTACCAGTAGTTGTCACTCCGGAATCGGAATAAATCCGGAATCATTCCACATTTTCGTGACCCCGGAATGGAATAGAATGTCATCAAAACTTGGAGGAACGGATTGGGAATGCAAAAGAACTTGTTGTTGGGCTAGTTGGTATAACATTTCACAAAATTAATTTGAGCGCAAACACACTACACATTCGCATGCCACACACATACACCCAGGCATCAAACACGCACAGTGCTCTGTAACAAGATAGGCCCAGTGTACTAGAAATGTATTGTAATAGAACTTATTGTTGGGCTAGTTGGTATAACATTTCAAAAAATTAATTTGAGTGCAAACACACTACACACTCATGTACGCACACCCAGGCATCTAACACGCAGAGCGCTGTGCGTGTTTGATGCATTAATGTGTGTGTGAATGTGCAGTGTGTTTGCGCTCAAATCGGGAATGGAACTATGTATTTTTCTGAAAATAGAGCACATTTTCATTGACGTGAGGATTTTCCAACTTCAAACATTAGTAATTGAGACCCTCGATTTTTTTTTTTAATTCTTGGCCGATTACAAGTATGATACATTCATAATTAGTGGACTCACTATAATTTTGTCCTTATACAGTCTGTGTTGCTCCGAAATTTTCCTCTAGTCCTGTAACCGCGGCTCTGTGCCATGGTATTCATCTTGCGGAACTATTCGCAATGCCCACGGCCCATAGGTGGCGCGCCGTGCATTCCAAGATGGCTGCGGAAGGATGATCAACCCGTAAACTCGCATAAGAAATGATAGGATGCACGAACGTACTCTTCGTGCCGCTTTCACCGAATGAACTCTTGATGGTCGAGTGAACGTATATCAAACCAAAGTACTTTCCCAACTGATAGGATCGCTACCTCATTTCTTGCCGCATTGCAAAGGCTGGTGGTGTCAGCTGATCGACCGTGTGGCAACGATGCTTTGCGTAATTTTGTGCGTGGTATAGAAAACTGCACGAACTAGAATTCACGTACGAACTAAATGGCACTCTGAAATCATTTGTGCTGAGCCTGTCCAGCGGATTTGCCGCAGTAGTTGGCCACTAGCGAGTAGCGCGCCTTCGCGGCTGCACAGGACAGAATGTTCAACATAGCGATGGTTTGCAAAAGTATTACGCCATCGTCATTACTTGCACTATAAGCATCATGCAGCAGCTTCAACAGAACACAACCATTTAACTTCCCATTAAGTAGCACTTTTGTCACAGCCACGATCAGACTAACAGTGCACAATTCCCTGCACTCGGGTGTTGCAGGTTCCATCAGCGCGGATATCGACAAGGATATCGACACGAAACAAGGATATCGTCATGCGTACGCTTTTTGCAACATGAAAATTGCGAACATTTGTTGAATAATAACGTCGTTCGGACGACACTGGTGAAGTGCAAAAGAAGTTAGCGTGGACTGTAGTCGTAACTGCATATTTCATTGCTTTATTTCGCTTCGCTGGTCGAGCTCAAGCGTGTTGGCAGCATGCAGCGCATTGTAATATCCACGGTAATTAGGATACATTCAACGCACAAGAAAAAGTGTGCATTTATTTTGAGCTCACTGAAGGATATTATAGTATAAATACTATCAAAGTGACTTACGAGCGTGAATAAACATTAACGCACGACGGTACATGAAGTGCAACTCTGCTTTTGAGCTAGCAGCTGATCGTTCATCGCTGCTGTCACTCTCAGCACGTTGACAACCATCTAAGTCTGGTGAAAGATCCTCAACGTCAAGACTGTTTCTTTGAACATCACTGCTGAAAGTAATCTGAGGAATTCTCTCCGCCAAACGACTTAGATAGCACCAACAACGCGTCATTCACCACGCACAACACCCACACGGCGTCACTCTGCACGTTTATCTGAGGTTGTGGAGAACATTTCGCTCCGATACTCGGCAAGAAAGGTATCACTTGCAGTGTGATGCCATCTATGAACCAACCTAAAAAACAAGCGGCGCAGCTTAGGCCAAGGTTTCTAAGTGCAAATCGCGAGCTTGCGCTACTTTCTGCGTGCAATGAATTTTATGGGATTAAGCACTACTAAAACACTTACGAATGCTATACACACGTAAGACAAGGGGAGTTTTTACTGGAATGGTGAGGCGATAATATTTAACTATCCAAAGTGGCTACAGAAAATTGCGCGAAGCTGATATGTGTACTTTGCAGGCTATAATTTTTCGCCCCCTCGGTGGCGCCTTGGCCGCCTGCTGTATCCCCATCCTTCACTTTGTTCTTGCTTCTGCCTGCCCTTGGCGACTTCGATTCATATTAAAAAATGCGCTTCTCTAAGTTGTGATGCGTATTGACTGTGGTGCGATGCTTGTGTTTGCCGTAGGCTTTCACATACCAGCTTGTGCACCGTCTCACCTCATATTACCCCCCTCTTCTTTTTTTTTTTTCAGTATTGTCCCCCCTGCCTACACACATGAGCGCGTTTGCCCGGAACTCTATTGCGAAGGTCTGTGGGTTAGCGCAGCACAGATTTATGCGCTATGAACTGTGTGCTTCAACATATTTTAACACAGCGCATGACTATGTGAACACGAGAGAACAGACAAACTCCAGCGCTGACTTTCAACTGAATTTTAATTATAAAACATGAACGGAAGGGAACACTTCAACTACAACACCCATGTGACCACACTAAGAGAAAAAAATAGATCAGCTGACATTATGAACATTGAACAAACCTTGATACATTCCGTGTGTACTCTTTAACAGCATAAAGGTTACGATATTGTGCTATCTAATAACCTAACCTCGCTATCATGTAGGGCTATAGAAGGCATGCTAATGCATTGTTCGCCCCTTTGGTTGATATTATATGCTTCAATTATTTCTCTAACTGTGTGTATGATGAACTGTTGTACAAGATGAACTGCGCAGAGAAAGATGGCTTAGATTTTTGATTTTAGTTTCTCCAGCCAGCCAAAGCAGGTGAGCACACGTAACCATGCAAGGCAGCGCCTGCCCGGATCCCTACACGCCGATTCGTTAAGTTGTCATTTTTGCATTAATGCATTTAAGCTTGTCAATATTAAAACATCACCATTCATTCAAACATCCACTCTTAGAAAAAAAGGGCTGCATATTCACTAACTAAGTACGAACCATTTACTTGTCACAAGAAGCACGAATCTCTTAATAAATGGAGGTCGTAAAATGCAGCAGTGAAACTTCCTTGTTTGCTAAGTACTTTGTGAGGGTTGCTGACTGGAATAATTAATAAAATTACTGAATTTTCAGTTAACCCACGTCTATATGTGCATGTACATTGCCACATCAAGATAATTCTATTATAGAGGTATGTATAGGAGAATAAGTGAAGTGCCATTGTCCACATAAATTAATTAGTGGTCACTATGTAATTGCCATGACAAGTTTGCATCACAGCAATCTACATAGAGGCATGAACAAATCACAGACGAGGACATAGAGACTCGCACATAGAATATCAAGACTTAGCTGGTATCTAGCAGCCATTTGAGACTGTTTATACTCCTACTTTGGAAGGAATAGCACTCTGTGTACTGGTTAGCAGCCATAGAATTTTGAAAAATAATGGACGTTGTGTGCACATCGTCTGCCCTTCTATTTGAATACATGCGTGTCATCACTTAGCACGCAATTTTTATTCCATAGTAATTGACAAAATTAAGGTTGGTCGAAATTTTTCCTATGAGTGTCACACTTACTGCAAGATATACGGTGGTGTTTACGAGAGATCCAGCAACGTGTGTGGCTTAGTAGCTACCTAGTTAAAAAGACCAAGACAGCATTCCTGGTTTGTGATGACAAAAGTTTCAAGCTTTGATAGCTGATGGCTATAGTAAATAGATGCCACGAAGGTAGTAAAATACGCATTGCCAAACTGTTTGCTTACTTTTTTTTCCAAGATTGTCCTGACCATGCAAATATTATAGGTAGTAAAATAACTGCCCCTATGAGAACTAGTAGTGTGGTTGTACTGCACGAGACAAGCCACAAAGGTACTATCCCTCGACTGTAGTATTGTGTTTCGCATACTTTAGCAGTTTTTAATGCCTCTGACGACGTCAGCTTTATGTTTTTACAATCATCCTCAGCTCGGCAAAGCTATCGAAATTCCTACATTGAGGAATTTCTTTTGTATGTTGAGGAATTGTAGGAATGGAATTTACTGGCCCGGCCATTCCCAGAGCTGGAATGTGCTAAGCATTTTCATTCTGAAGAGTTGAAAGGAATGGAATGGTGGCAAGTTGCAATTCCCCGGAACAGAATAGAATGTAGGTGCCCATTTCGCAACACTGCCCTGATGGGACCTATGTGGCTTTTAGCATGTTTTCTGAAACTGTGTGGCTGAACGATTGGGACAAAGTCTCTAGCATCTCAACATTTCGTCAAACAAAGGTTCGTAAGGAAACTGTTCGAGGCGAAGTGTCCACTCTCTCTATCCGCAGTTCCATCTAGCTAGCTTCTATTATAAGTTTGACTTACTTTTCCCATGTTACCACATTATTAAACATGTATTCTGATCTTCACTAGGTGCCACTTGATACAATCCGTGAAAATCTAGATTTCTTGCCACAGTTTTCCATATGCACCCGAAAGCAACACTGCAGAAAAGGTGACGAATTTTAGATTTTTCAGCAAGTTTCAGAAGGCCTACTGAGTGTAGGCTGTATATCAGAAAGCTGGACAGAAACGTTAGATATAAGAACATCAGTTGCATCAGTATGTCCTTTGTTATGTCACTCATCGGCAATTTCGATGTGCTATATTGGCATGTCAAATTGTACAATCGCTGCCTGAGTGGGTTCGACTCTTGCCTTTCCGAGTACTTCATTTGTTTGCATATTGGAAGGAGCGTCCTCAGTAGAATGAGATGCCTGTTCTTAGCATCTGTGAGTTTTTGATTAAGGCAAATTGAAGGCCCAGTTGTTGGCAAGAAAATAGACAGTGATTTGAATATTAGATAAGGTCATGTGTACAGTATAATAATACTTTAATGAAGATCACGAAGTGAAATTGGATGTGAACTAGCAATAAATACCTTTTAGTTTTGCTGGAAAATTTCTCAGGTGTGTTGTTAGCATTATTAACTTTAGATAAGCGACCTTAGCTCTTCTTAAAAACAGCACGAAGGGGAAGATGGAAACACGGTCGTCAGAAGAAGTACAATTGAGCAATGGTAGGTTCGATATTCCTAGAAGGAGGGCTTAACTCTTATTAGTTTTCTTCATGTATGTAAGCAATAATAACAGCACAGAATACGATGGGCCCAACTAAGCACGCTTTATAGGTATGGGCTCACCCTCACCCTGTTTGAACCTTGGCTACGTCACATCGTGCTGGCACCCGAAAAGTGGCCGCTCGTGCACGATAGGTAAAGATTTGGGTGGCTATGCCACATCGATTTGATGCAGGAGCCCCATTAAAAATGTTTATACCTGCTGGCTGGAGCTTATTAAGCTTGTGAGTAAGGTATGACTCTATTTTCTGTCGCTTGCGAACCAAAGGTTTGGCTTGAGCACACAACCTATGTATACCCATTTTTCTTTTCATCTTAATTTTTCTTGGCATACAAGATAGATTGAAAGAGTAATTGTGTAACAACGATTATATACCAGGTTCTTCTCTATTTATCCAGTATGCTAATTTCAAAACAGAAACTTAGGGGGTAAAAAGGCTTGATAAGGAAGGAGGGGCTGCCACAAACTTCTTCCTCCCCCCTGATGGGAACCCCTCGCACGCCTATGATGCTTCAAATTTAAATGAGTTCATGACAGCCCAGAATCTGTGCAAAAGTAGTGTTTGGTAACTTTCAATCTAGTGTGTGTTACTGATAAGGGGTGCTTGTTCACAGGTTCATCGGCTCAATGAAATTTGCTGGGACAAGTGCATGGACAAGCCGGGCACCAAGCTGGATGGGCGGACCGAGACCTGCCTATCAAACTGTGTCGAGCGTTTTATTGACACGTCACTCTCAATAACCAACCGCTTTGCACAGTTATTGCAGAGGTCAGCTGCTGGTCAGACATAAATAGATAGCCCTGTGTGGAAAACCTTTGACATTTGAAGGAAAACGAATCTAGTGCATTGTGATTCACCTGGAAGAAAGGAAGGACCGACACCGTAGCGTCAGCCATGATATCTGCAGCAATCATCAGGTCTTCTCGTGTGTAGTGGTACAAATTAAAACTTATGATACTTTATTCCATGTGCATAAAAAAGAGCTGTACTAATACCTAAATATATGTTTAGTATACTGTGGCATCACTGATGCCATTGCTAGATGAAAGGCACTTGATTTTAGAAGTCAATAGAGGATGTAACACTCCTGCATGTGATAATTGGTTTTTGGTGGCACTTCAAACATTCGCACGGTAAAATTTTTCTGAACCGGACTTGTTTGGACTCACTCAGGCTCTTGACTCGATCCAAGTAAGAGGGAGCCTACTCATGATCGAGTTTGCCGAACTGTGGTTAAAAGTGGACATTTTGCAACTTTATTATTGCCTAACTTTTTGTGCAAAAATGTTGTTGCTGACCATTCTATTAAAGTGGGACGAAACACTGGAATATGACGAAATTCTAGATCTCTAAAGGATATATAAGCTTGTTGTAGATGAGGATAGGTTATCAACAGTGACAAAAACTCATCTGGTCGGAACTGCATAAGTCAAAGGTAAAAGGAATACGCGGACCAAACACAAGTCGCACTGTCCGCAACCTATAGGTGGCTCGCGAAGTAAACCAACATAGCTGTCCGCAGTAGGATAACGAGCAAATAGGAAGGCGCGGATTGGATTGGATAAACTTTTAATTGGTCCTCCAAAACACGGATCACTGTGTTGCGGGCAGCTCCCACGTGGGGACTGAGATGCCAAGCTCCTCAGCCGCCTCGCGGGCTTGGTGGACAGCCCAGAGCTGATCTGCCAAGGACGAGCTGCGGATTGCCGCCTCCCATCTGGCAGAGGTGATGTTCGATATATGAGCGAATTTGGTGCACTGCCAGAGCATGTGTTCCAATGAAGCTATTTCCCCACAATGTGGACAAAGATTACTTGGGTATAGGTCAGGGTACATGATGTGTAACATTTTCAAAGTAGGTTACATCCGCGTTTGCAAAAGCCTTAATGTAGGTGCTCGGGGCCGAGTTAGATTTTTGTGAGGTGGAGGGAAAACCGGAAGCATGCATCATGTTCCATACGTAAGTAAATTACAATATGGGCAAAATCAAAGGGAAATATATATAATTTTGTAAAACAACCATCCATATAGTGGTGAAGATGAAGAAACAGCCTCAGCACAATTTGGGAGTATCGAGTGCCTCTTCATTCTCTGCTGCACTTACTAGCTTCTGTCGGCAGATGTCGCATCGGTTTTGCATGAATAAAATGTCGCGGCGCACACACCATCTGCTGTTGCCTTGCCGCTTTCTACCAATTAAACAGCGGCTGCATTCTTTTATGTACGGTGACGCAACTTGTGTGCTTGGCGTCTTGAAAGGCATCATGGGCAGTTTAGAAAGGAGTAGAGGCGCACCATCTGTGCCATGAGTTGCGGTATATCTAGGCGACGTACGCTCATTACGCCATCTCGCTGGTAATGCTAAAAACACGATAGTTCCCCCATGGCCTCTGAGATGGCAGGCGCGCGGCGTCTTTCTCGGCGGGTGCGCGTGTAGGGTGGTTTTCAACGAGACGGAGTTCACTTCGATGGGCGGCTAGGTCATGAGGTGGGTTGGCAACTTGCAGGATGCGCAGTAGCTTTTTTGGGGAGCACGTGGGCCCTTCGAGGTGCAGGATAGCTAGTAACGAGGAAAACGACCAGGGAGACTCTTTGAGGTGGTATGGACAGATACGATTCCAAAGTGGCACCAATATCTAAGACAGGTAGAGTCCGGGGCAGAAACAGACGTAGCCACGAGGGCCGAGCCAATTCAGACGTAGGGTATATTAACATGCAGGGTGGTAGGAACAGGCTGAAGTGGGAAGAGATAGAAGAACAGTAAAGGGGTAGAGGCCGATGGTATACGGTTTTGTAGAAACACATCTTAGGGACATGGAACAATCTCCTAACAATCCAGACTATGCGTGGGACTATTGTAATAGAACAGATGGCAGCAGAAAGGGGGGTGGTGTTGGGGCACTCATTCATAAAAGTACAGACTGGCAAAGGGTCAAGCAGGAGTGCAAGGAACATTTATGGCTAAAAGGGAAAGTGGCAGGGCAAATGACACTCCTGGGTTTTGTATACTTGTGGACAGGGGCAAAATACAGGGAGGAAAATCAACAAATTGTGGAGTGTATATCAAAGGACATTGAGGAATTAAGGAGTGCGAGATAATTATACTAGGAGATATGAATGTGCACATAGAAGACATAGACTGGTATACCGACCCAACAGGCAAAATGATCATGGATATGTGTGAAAGGCATGATTTGATCATTTGCAACAGCACTGAGAAGTGGGAAAAGTAAACATGGGAGGTAGGAAGGCTGCAGTCGATAGATTACGCACTTATGTCACATAGGATGTATGATAGGCTCAGCGGAATGCACATAGATTAATGTGGCTCTAGAAGTTTAGGTAGTGATCACAAACATATCAAGCCAAGTTTGGGAAGAGCAGTGAAAGTGGAAAGGAGACAAGAGGAGCTGCTACAGGAAAATGTTTATTCAGAAAGGCAAATTGAAATAGCCACTAAACAAATTTAGAAAGTAATCACTGAGGATAATGAAACAGTGTGGACATACACGAATCTAATTAGACTTCGAGCTAGAGCTTGCTAAGGCATGTGACAAGTCACTTGAGAAAGAAGACGCAAACCTAAGAGTTGGTGGGATGAGGAAGTTAAGCGAGCCATAGCTAGATGTCAGGAAACCTCTAGGGAACACAGACATGCTAAGCAGCGGGGTTGACCGACAGAGGATGTTAAAAGAAAATGGGAAGTCTTTCAAAGCTGTAGAAGGGATGCATCCCTTTTGATCAATGAAAGGTTAGAAAAAAGGGGGCTAAGTGGCTGGCAGAAGTACATAAAAAGGATAGAAAGGCAGCTGCAAAATTTTGGGACCATTTAAACTCCCTAAGAAATGAGACTAGCCTAGAGCAGTGGGTTTATAACTACAGCTCAAGGTGCTAGGCTAGAAGGGGGCGAAGCTATTGAATATATAAGGACAAGGGCGACAGAAAAATTGTAACAAAGAAGTGCCTTATGCACCACAATAGACAAGGATGAATCAAGTGGCGCAATGGCTCCATTTTCTCAACAGGAGTGGGAAAGGGCTGAGAAGAGGGTTCCTAGTAGTACATCAACAGGCTCAGATGGCATTCCAATTATGCCGATAAATGCATTGGGTCTGAAGTTTAAGAAGATTTTGAGAGAGGCAGTGAACAAAATAATAATCGATAATCAAGTCCCCGATGGATGGAACCTTAGCAGGATGAGCGTGATCTATAAAGGAAAGGGGGACAAAGCTGACAAACAACTACCGTCTTATGACAGTGACATCAGTGGTCTACAGTCTGGCGAAGCAGATTACAAAGGAAAGACTGCAGGCATTCATAGAGAAGGAGGGGGTGCCGGGGGAACTGCAGAATGGGTTTCGGAAACAAAGGAGAATGAAAGACAATCTGTTCTCACCGATACAGTGCATCGAAATAGCAGAAAAAGAACACAGGCGCCTGTGGCTGGCATTTTTGGATTTCAAGAAAGCGTACAATAGCGTGATTCAAGAGGACTTACGGGGAATACTGGACACGCTATGTGTGCAAAATGGAATCGCTAATCTTTTAAATGATATCGATAAAGGTAACAAGGTAGTTATAAAGTGGGAGAAACAGGTATCCAAGCCTACAGAGGTGAAACAGTGGCTTAGGCAGGGGTGTCCTCTGTCACCCTTGTTATTAATGATGTACCTACAAGAATTAGAGGCCAAATTAGAGGGAAGTGGACTTGGCTTCAACCCCTCTTTCGTCAAACAAGGAAAACTCATTGAACAGGCACTACCAGCATTGATGTACGCAGGTCATATAGTGCTAATGGCCGACAACAAGGAAGATTTGCAGAAATTGATGGACGCCTGCAGTAATGAGGAACATAGGTTAGATTTCAGATTCAGTAAAGAAAAATCAGTAGTCATGATTTTCAATGATAATGAAGGTAGTAAGCTTAGAATACAGGAGGCCGCGCTAGAGATAACAGATAAATACGAATATCTGGGCGTGTGGATAAGCAATGGGACCGAGTATCTGAGGGAACACGAAATATACGTGACGACTAAAGGTAACAGGAATGCAGCAGTGATGAAAAACAGGGCACTGTGGAATTACAATAAGTATGATGTTGGGAGAGGATTATGGAAAGGGGCCATGGTTCCTGGTCTGACGTTCGGCAACGCGGTTTTGTGCATGAGATCAGAAGTTGAAGCAAGATTAGAAATCAAGCAACGTGGAATAGGTGGGCTTGCCTTAGGAGCTCACGGGAATACACCGAATTAGGGAGTACAAGGTGATATGGGATAGGCATTATTTGAGGGCAGGGAAGTTAGCAACAAGATGAAATTTGAAAAGCGTTTGAGAGAGATGGCGGGAGAGCGTTGGACTAGGAAGGTTTTCAGCTACTTGTACTTGAAGAATGTCGATATGAAATGGAGGAAGCGAACCTGAAAATTGACGGGTAAACACTTAGAAAACAGCAGGGGGCCAAACCAAAAAAAATTATCGGTTAAGAAGAAGGTGAAGGAAGTTGAGACCGATATGTAGAGAACTGGCATGATTAAGAAGTCCGCACTAGAGATCTATCCAACTCTTAAGCAGGAAATTGCCAAGGAAAGGATCTATGATAATACTTGGGGTAGTTTTCTACTGCTTGAAGCCAAGACGGGAGCATTGCGAACCAAGACATATTGGGCCAAATGAGAAGTATTAGACACGGTATGCAGGGCGTGTGGAGAGAAGGAGGAAACTGCCGAACACTCGATAATGTTCTGTAAAGGGCTTCACCCTATAGTTCAGGATGATGGCGCAGAGTTTTTCAAAGCACTGGGGTTTAGGGACAGTGAGGGCAAAATAGACTTTAAGCGGGTAGAATTAACTAGAAGGAGGTTATCTGATTGGTGGCTAAAGTCAAGGCACGAGTGAAAATTAAACCCTTCTCTGCAAAGTACCAGTCCTTCCTCGACCTCACTATTTGAAGGGAAAAAAAATGATAAATCTAGTTTTAGATGCGGAGCATCTGATACTCGAGGCTTGTAGTGCGGCGCCGTCCGCAAGCTTCCTCCTCCTCCTTCCACCATCTGTGCATCCCTTCCTCCTCTACACACCGCGCGCGCTTCACTCCTCCACCATCTGTGCAGCCTTCCTCCTCTACACACCGCGCGCGCTTCTCCTCTTCACGAAC